TTTGGAGACAAAGTCTTACTCCATTGCCCAGGTTGCAATGCAGTGTCACGATCATGGCTCACTGCAGCCTCAGAACGTGTAGGCTCAAGCAGTCCTCCCACCTATCCACCTCAGGCTCATGAGTAGCTGGGACTGCGAGTACACACCACTACACCAGCTAATTTTTAATTTTTTTGTGGAGGTGAAGTCTTCCTATGTGTCCACGATGGTCTGGATCTCCTGGCTCCAGTGATCCTCCTGCCTCAGCCTCTTAAAGTACTGGGATTACAGGCATGAGCCACCATGCCTGGGCTGTATTTTTTTCTTTATAAAGTAAAATAATGATATAGCCAATTTTGTGCAATCTATGAAAACGTTTATATTAGGTTACATATCCATTGATTTGATTTCTCATATATTGTACACTGTTTTTTAAAAGGAAAGCTAATAATTGCTTAGGAGTAGGAAGATAGAAATCCCTCTTCTTACGAGGCAGTAACTCTTAGCTTAACCCTCCCGCCTGTCTAAATGGGTATTTGGGGGTTACAGAAAAAAAGTTAGTGGATAATATCATATAAACCAAACTTTGTTTTAAAGAGTTTGCCAGTTGATTATATCAAAAACATAGCATGGCCTGCAAGTACTGTTTCTAATTGTATGAGACTGTATTTTTTAAGATTGTCCTCTTGGTGACAAGATTAAGATATTAACTAATAAAAGCAAACTTTTACTCTGAAGACATTATTGTTGATGGTTCCTCATAACCATAAATTGTTTTGGGAACTTAAAGACATTTTATTTCTCATTCTTTTCATAGGAGATGGCAAACTTTTTCTGTTAAAGGATCAGATAGTAAATATTTTAGGCTTGGTGGACCATGTGTGGTTGTTGTCTCAACTCTCTCTTTTTTTTTTTTAAGAGACGGGGTTTCTACGTGTTGGTCAGGCTGGTCTCGAACTCTCGACCTCAGGTGATCCACCTGCCTCGGCCTCCCAAAGTGCTGGGATTACAGGCGTGAGCCACTGTGCCTGGCCTCAACTCTTTAACTCTGCTTTGGTAGCTGAAAACAGCCATAGACAACATGTAAATGAATGTGTGTGGCTGTGTTCCAGTAAAACTGTCTTCACAGAAATAGATCCAAGGGAAAGGGAATTTCATTCACAAGCTGACCACCACATTCAAGTATAAAATTTATTTCTTGTGGTCTTTTTGATAAAAATTTCAGATATAATCTATTTCCTTTGTGAACAGATCTTTTAATTTAGGCTAATTGACTGCAATGCCAATGTTCCTAAATAAGCCCACATTAGCTTTTTATGTCATATCATTTTGTTATTCTACTTTAAAATCAGTAGAAATAACTTGGGTTTTGTGGAGTCATTTAAGAACAAAATTTGTACCTAATTGTTCCTGACTACTTTGTGACTGGAAGAATTATTTTATATCTCAGAGCTTCAATGTTTTCATTTATAAAACAGGAATAATCATAGCTATCCCATAGAGTTGTTATATTTTCTATTTAGCTATCTTTATCAATTCAATTTAGCAAGGTTATTTTAGTCATTACCTTGTACTTCTTTCAGAACCTAGGAAAGAACTGCACAGAAATGAGCACATCTACCCTTGTCATACTGAAGAATCAAAGCTGGATTTCAAAATGTTTTAATGTTTCTGTCAGATAGTTTTTGTGACATTTTTATATTTCTGTTAGTGCTTGACTTTTTAGTTTTACAGTTTTTCTTGGACAGATTATAGCATGCTAAAAATATGGAATAAAATTTTAGATCATTGTTTATCAATGGAAGCCTGCTCCAGAATCTGCAAGAACTATAGTTCATCACCTGACAGCTTGTAAGAAGCAGATTATTTGTAAATTACGTTCCTATTATATACTCCATATAATCTTTGACTGGGAGTTGGTAACATCATTAGGTGGATGATAGTATATTGAAATGTTGCTTGTTCATCTTTATAAGACAAATCATGTTTGGAATGAGAAAACAACCTTTAGATGCATGATCCTAAGTATATATCCTGTATATACTTGAGTGTGAATTTTTAGCCAACAAAGGGGTAAGCATAGTAAAATATATCCTTTGTAACTTTGCAGCTCAGGGACAAAATGAAAGATCATTCATTGAATCTCGTAAAGGTACCTAATTAACCCTGGCTTCCTCAGTATAGGGTTTAAAAATTCTATTCTCCAATAGAATTTTTCAGGGGAGGAGGGATAGTTGTGACATTGGTAGGATAAGGGTATATGGTATGCTTTATTAACTGTATAATCTTAAATTTTAAAGGCATTAGTCAACAGCTTTGCAAATGTGTATGTATTTTAATGGGAAAAGTTAACATCTGAAGTTAAGAGCGAAGCCAGGCTATATGGGTAATGGAATTTGGTGTGATGTTACATTTTATGACTAAGTGTAGCTATTCGTTTAGTATTGTTCATTTATTTGCTAGTTTTCATATAGGACTTGTGGTTACCTTCCTTAGCACCGTATTGTGATTCTGTTGTTTGAAAGCTTAACTTTAAAAAAAAAAAAAAGGTGTAAATATCTTTTAAAGGCTAGGAGAATGAAAAGGTTTGTTTTACATTTTAATGAAACTTAAATTTATTTTATATTTTTTTCTTTTTTTGAGACGGAGTTTCACTCTTGTTACCCAGGCTGTAGTGCAATGGCATGATCTCGGCTCACTGCAACCTCCACCTCCTGGGTTCAAGCAGTTCTCCCGCCTCAGCCTCCTGAGTAGCTGGACTACATGTGCCACCATGCCCAGCTAATTTTTTTTAGTATTTTTGGTAGAGACGGGGTTTCACCATGTTGACCAGGATGGTTTCGATCTCTTGACCTTGTGATCCACCCACCTCAGCCTCCCAAAGTGCTGGGATTATAGGCGTGAGCCACCGCGCCTGGCCGAAACTTAAATTTATTAGGTTGGTGCAAAGGTAATTTTGGGTTTTGCCATGTTAAATGGCAGAGTTGAAGAGTTGAGACTATCACACGTGGCCCACCAATTGTAAAATACTTACTATCTGATCCTTTAACAGAAAACAAAGCCATGTGAAATGGCAAACACCATGACTACTTTTGCACCAACCTAATACAGTTGACATTAAATACTTAATAAATTATATAAAACATTATTTACAATAAAAATTTGAAAACCTTAATATTCTCCAGCTTTCATGTTAAAAGTTTACTTTTTAAAATGGCAGTCTCAGCCCAGGATGGTGGCATGTGCCTGTAAGCCCAGCTACTTGGCAGGCTGAGGCAGGAGGATCTCTTGAGCCCAGGAGTTGAAGCCCATCTTGGGCAACATAGCAAGGCCCAGTCTCTCCAAAAAAAATAAAAATAAAAACAACAACTTGCTTTTAAGTTTACGTACCTACCTCCTTAAATAGAGTATATGAGCCTGATTTGTACTTTTTCTCTTATTAAAAATATTTATTGTCTGTTGTGTGCATGGTGCTGTGCTAGTAGACAAGGAATTATGATGAGCATTCTTAAAATCTGTAATATGAAGAAAAACTACAAGTGCTGTGAGAGCATAAAATAGGAATATCCTTAATCTAGATGGAGTTCAGGTTGGGCTTTCTGAAGCAGTAATGTTCTGACTGAGATAAAGATGAGTGGTAATTAAGCAAAGGGAGAATAGGTGTTGCTAGCATAGAGAGTCTTTTTCAAAGACCCCTAATGTGAAAGAAGCAGGGGTATACTGGAGAAACTAGAAGTCCAGTCCAGAAGTCCAGGAATGAGCATGAGATCAAGGAGTGAAGGGTAGTGGAAGTAGAGTTCAGAGACCGTCAAATATTTTGGGACAGTTTAGATTTTGTTCTTTACCCTCAGAGTCGTGGAAAGTCATTAAAATGTTTTAAAGAGACAGTTGCTAGATCAGATTTGCATTTTTAAAAGATCTTCTGACAGCTGTTGGGAGAACAGAATGAAATGGGGCAAGAATGAAGTGTAGAAAACAAAGCCAAGGGATGGTTCTTGAATGAGAGTGGCTGAAGAAGAAATGAAAGGAAATCAACAGATTCAAGATATATTTAGTAGATAACACTTTTTGGAGTTGATAGATGTTAGGGGTTTAGGAGAAAGTTGTCATGGAGGACTTCCAGGTTTCTGCTTTCCACAACTGGAAAGCTATGATGCATTTGTTAAGATGAGAAAACATTAGAACTAGAGATAGGCGATGGGGATGGGTCTTGAGTTCAGTTTTGGACCTCTTGAGCACAGGCATTGAAGAATTTGAAAGGGAAAAGAGGCAGCAGCTAGAGGGAAAAATGGGGCAGAAGGTTTTTAAAATATGTGAGGTACTTGGACATGTTAAAATGCTGAAGAGAAGGAAGGATTCAGATGAATGAGAGGTGTCTCAAAATTATTGAAAGGGGAGGGGTAAATCAAAGGAATAGTCGGTCCTTAAGAAGGGTTAGCAAGAACATACCTAAGCGGAATTATTGGTCTCAAATGAGAGGAGCAGTACCTCTAGTGTTTTAACAAGAAAAAGTAAGAAGTAAGCTGTATAAATGTAGTACATATTTAGTAGGTGGGAATTGTTTTGTTTTCCTTGAGGTATGGAACTGTCATTTGGGGATGTGGAAAGGGCATAGAATCCGTAGCTTGAGAAGAGAAGAAATTTGAAATAGTTTTGGTGACTAGTGAATTGAGAAATGTAGTAAGGTTTTTTGGCAGCATTGAGAGAATTTTTTAAAATTTAATGAGTATCATTTAATATTAAGTAAATCACATTTGAAGGAAAACAGCAAGACAGTGGACTCTGCTTAGCAGAAGAGATCACTAAGGGTCCTTAAACTTTTAAGTATTGGCATTAATTTGCCAAGACCTTGTGCTACCCTGATGTTCAAGCAGGGATAATGTTTACAGTGCCACAGATATAGCTGCTGTATACCCTTATTGTAGTGTATGCTTTCACCTAACTTTTAGTGTTATTGATATTAGCTAGGTATCATTTGTTTCTAACTGATATTCTTTTTTTTTTTTTTTTTTTCTATCTAGGCAGGCAGAAGTCCTGAAGGCTGACATGACAGGTATTGGCTTATTTCTTTTTCACAACATATTTTGTACATTAAATTAATGGAAGGATATCCTCTTTCTTCTATTACTCACAGCACTAAATTCTGTCCTAGTTGCCAGAAGGGATGATAATTTACTGTCTGCTTTAAATATTTATTGTTTTTATAGTTTGAATTCTTGCTTAAATAATTGTTGAGAATTGCATATAATATTAATACATGGCATACTGAATTGAATGTTACCTAATTTGGTTTATATAATCACTTAATTTTTAATGAAACTTTTTATTATTATTTTAATTTTCTTTCCCTTCTCAGATGTTATGAGGAAACTTTTTATTAATGATTTAAGATATACAGAAAAAATAACATACCCCATATAAGCCAAAATATCTTATAGTATTAGGCTAATATCTTTCTGGGAAAATGTTCTTTTCCTATTTATAATTAACTAAACCTTCAGAAAAAATATTTACAGAAAAATTCTTTTGAAAGTCCTTGAAATTGAGGGAGCTATCTTACTGCCTTTCTGCTCTCCCATATTTTTGTTGCTTTGAATAATGGCTGAGGTCTTTTAGAAGAATAACTGCCAGACTTAGCCATTGAAAGGAGTAAATGAGGCACAGTGGCATGGTGGCTCATGCCTGTAATCGTAGCGCTTCTGGAGGCCGAGGTGGGTGGATAACCTGAGGTCAAGAGTTTGAGACCAGCCTGGCCAATGTGGTGAAACCCTGTCTCTTAAAAATACAAAAATTAGCTGGGCATGGCGACATGCACCTGTAATTCCAGCTACTCCGGAGGCTGAGGCAGTAGAATCGATAGAACCAGGAAGTGTGGGTTGCAGTGAGCCAAGATCGTGCCACTACATTCCAGCCTGGGTGACAGACCAAGACTCCATCTCAAAAAAAAAAAAAAAAAAAAAAAGTAAATACAAAATTGGAAAATACATTTGAATAACTATGTAGTGATCAATATGCCCTCCGTAACAGCATTTGCCATCCTATAATGTAAGAGGAATATGTACTAGTGAATCTTACTCTAATTTTTGAAGAATTTAGTTCTGCAGTGAAATTCACAAAAAAAGAATTAAACAGCATACCTGCTAAGATTTACAAAGAGGAAAAGGACTATTGAAATGTCTTTTTCTCAACTCTAGAGTCTCTTAGGCTAATGTCCTAAGAGTTCATGGGTAATCTCATGTCACCTTGTTCAAGGAAAAGGGGGGAGGGCGGAGTGAATAGCTTATATATTTACTCATAACACCTCAGTTCTTCCCATTGTTAACAGATTGTCATCATCTGTATTGTGTATGTCAGTGTCAGCTCAGAGCTACTGTATTATGCTCTTGAATAGGCATTGACAACATAATCTATTGTATGACGAAAAGAGAACATGGAGCAATGTCAAGCTGTCTGTATCATTTACCTTTTCTTAGGTATTGAACAACCTTAGTAAATAGTCTTAGGGTTTGACCTTTATAGGAGACCTTCGGCTGCCCAGAAACCAAGATAATAAGTCTCATTTGAATGACTGTCTGATAATTGAGAATTAATAATCTTTTATACTTCTTTTTCTTGCCATAAGTGAATTAAAGCAGGGTTGACTAAATCTGTTATTTAGTGATTAAAAACTTAACTGGGGACGAGGAGCTGATACTAAACTCTATTCTTACTAGCCTGTAAACTCTTAGGAGCATTAACTCAAATCCAGGAGATTTTGCAAAATAGGATTGTGGTGGCTATAGATATACTAATAGCTAAACCTAAAGAAGAATGAAGATTATGTCATTGTGTAGCAGCAAAACTAAATAGCCCATCTAGTTTTAGGAAATATACAATTGAAGAGTCCATTATTAAGTTCACCTACTGAGGGAGCTTACTGTCAGTTAGAGCGATCATAATTCCAGTGATCGCAAAGGTAAATGTGCCTTGCATTACTCTGGCAGACAGCATGGCCCCAATTTTACATTATGTATAGTCATAGCCTGATGTTCTGATTACATCCTACACCCCGTCTCTCATCTGACCTCTTTAGCAGTTTAATCCCAGTCTTTCTAAGCCTTCGTTTACATTAAATGGCTAATGTGGATTGCTCACAAAAGTATCTTGGAAAACAGTCTACCTCTCATTAAAATAATACTGTCCTGGCTTATTGGCGTAATGTATTGAGAGTAGGAGTAACGCAGAATACCAAAGCAACTGCTGGATAGTCAGCTGATGTAAAAATTCTGTAAGGACATTTGTGGGAATTCTTTAAAAAAAGAAGAAAAAGTTGCTTTGGACAAAGAGATACAGTATGAGAGGAAGCAGGCCAACTTGGCAGTGTGTTATTCCAAATAGAGTGGCTTACTGTGAGACATATAGCTTCCTGTTATATGAATAGGCAGAAATACAAACAAAAAGCAAAGGGCAAACCATTCTTTTTTTTTTTTTTTTTTTTAAGAACTTTTCATTTCGTGATGTTATTTCAAAACTGAAAACAAAAGCATTGTAAACCAGACTTAGTAAAAAGGTAAAAGTCATTTGAAATACAGTAATATTAAACTTCTGCAGCATTCTATGGAATATATTTAGAGCAGCTTTTGCTTTGGGGATGGAACAAGAAGGAGTCACTGGTGTGGTGTAATGGTTTTAACGTTTATCTATCTACTGTTATGTTTTTGTTTTTGTTACTCAGATTCTAAGCTGGGTCCAGCTGAAGTCTGGACATCCAGGCAGGCTCTGCAGGACCTGTACCAGAAAATGCTAGTTACTGATTTGGAATACGCTTTAGACAAGAAAGTAGAACAGGATCTGTAAGTATTATCTATCATTTGGGAAGTCCCTGTAAGATCAAGAATTTCACCAAGACTTTAAAACAGTTTGTTTGGTTATTTATTTTTCAACCTATTGCAGAGTAAGCTGTTTCAGTGGAAATAAATTCTAGAATTTGTGATATTTGGTCATTGTTATTATTTCAGATATAGTCTTGGAGGTAAGAAGAGAAATGTTTAGAGTTGAATTTTATTAAGGTCATTAGGGCAGCTCTTCTAGGGTATATCACAAAAGCAAATACATCTATTTCAAATACTAAGAGTGTTCGGATGCTCTGTGGTCAGTCTTGTACTTAAGCCATGATTTAAGAGTAGTCTTTAGAAAAATCAAGAGTAGTCTTTAGAAAAATCTTTCTTTGGTCAATGCAGTTCTATAATTTCTCTGTCAGGAAAATGTATTTGCATTATAAGGAAAGTTCCTCCTTTTAATTAATAAATTGGTAGTGCTTCCTTCCCCCAACCCCAGTAAAATGAAAGATTTTGTGTATTTAGATTTTTCCACTTGTTCTTTCTAATGAGGGGTGAAATGCAGATAACCAGATTCCCAAGTGAGTAATTGTCTTTTGTGGAAGGCTTTGCCTTATAAATTGGAATAGGGACATTAGCCTGATAGAAATTTAAAAATCAATTAAGAATACTTTGTTTACTAATGCCCATTACCCTAGGTTGTGGTGAAGATTAGTTTTTTTCTATCATTCACATCTGTCTTAGATACTTTATATTTTTAAGAAGTCTAGTAATTCAGCTAAATCACGACCATCAAAATCCTTATCCTGTGATGTTAGAGTCAAGGATAGGATATCATCAGAAATGCTGAGGGAAGTGATTGTCCTCCTAAATCATTAAAAAGCCTAGAGCGCTAGAGCCTGAGAAGTTGATATTGATAGAGAAGTAAGTACTTTCCAGGTAGATTGTAAACCTCTTATCTGTGTTTGTTTCCTTTAATCAAGCTAGTAATATTTTTATTCTAGTTTTTTTATTCCCCACTATGGTTTCCAGGTTAGAAAGTGACTATATTCATCATAACTGGAGTTAAACTGATTCTATATATGACAAGATTAATGAAAAGCGTTTTATAATAGGACTTCGATATGCCATATTTCAGCATTATATTGTTTCTTATTTTAAATAGCCAAATTTGAAATGTGGCTTATATTTCAACCTCTTAATGTTAATCACAAGAGAAATAAACAAAACTATTTAATAGCAGTGAAACCGAATGCTCTGGGAAATAACTTTTGGGGAAATAAGAGATATGGCTTACTGTTTACAAAATCTTCCTCCCCTCTCCCACATATACATGTCCCTTGGTAGGGTACAGTCCTTCACTTTTGGCATAATATGTAGAAATTTGTTAATACCTTATTTTTACTTTGATCTTGCCACTATTGTTCTGATTTTCTACTGGGATTCCTAAATAAACTCTAGTAGTTCTAAAAGATTAATAGCTGAAGCCACAATCTGATTATTCGAACATTTGGTAAGTGTTTACTAAGGTCAGTTGGATTCTACTGCATGTCTAGTCTTCTTCAAAGGGAAGCATGAAGTTATTTAAATGAGAGTAACTTTAATGCAGGTTTACTGTCTAGTATGGTATAATTATAACAGACAGTTCTTTCTTGTTCTCAGGGGGACCAGTGTCTGCCCAGTGAGTCACTGCTATACCAAATAGAATTACATTTTGTTTTCAGCTGGAATCACGCCTTTAAGAATCAGATCACAACACTACAAGGCCAGGCAAAGAATCGAGCAAATCCGAATCGGAGTGAAGTTCAGGCAAACCTTTCTCTGTTCCTAGAGGCAGCTAGTGGCTTCTATACTCAGGTGAGTTCTGCATTGCATACCAGTTTTCTTACTATTAGTGGTAAATATCCTGCTCTTTGTACACGTCTTAATCCTCATGTAAACAATTCTTGTAACCATTATGTGGGCCATCGGGATTGATCACCTATAATCTTTTTTTTTTTTGGGGGGGGGTCACCTCTTTCACTTGGTCACCCAGGCTGGAGTGCAGTGGTGCCATCATGGCTCCCTGCAGCCTCAACCTCTCTAACTGAAATGATTCTCTCACCTCAGCCTTTCCACTAGCTGGGACTAAGGTATACACTGACATGCCTGACTAATTTTTATATTTTTTTTATAGAGACGAAATCTTGCTATGTTGCCCATGCTAGTCTTAAACTCCCGGGCTCAAGTGATCTGCCCACTTCAGCCTCCCAAAGTGCTGGGATTACATATGTGAGCCACTGTGCCCAGCCTATAATCTTAAATTAATTCAAATGTCCATAAGACCTTTAAAAAAAACAAAATCTCTACTCTTATAAAGGTTGATGTTTAGTTTAAAGGTTGGAAGTTTAATTGTATGAACAGAAAAGGGATAATGAGCACAAAGTCTTAGTGAAACAGTAGAATTAGTTACAAGTGGTAATAGAGGAAATGTGAATTTATGGGTATAGCTGTAGTCATTAAAATAACAGCTATGTTGTGCCAGATAGGAAATAGTCAAAATTTGTAATATCAAGTGAGTTTTCATAGTATTATTTATACAATGGAATTTATCTGGATTTTGAGATGTTATTAAACTAAGAAGTGAGTAGCTCTTCCTCTGTTTGAATAATAAGGTATTATTCATTGTCCCCAGAGATTTTCTTTTTCCTTAGTCACATCCTGATAGAACTTCTAAATCAGACAAGGTAAAAGAATAAATATTTTTGACCACAGAATTTTCTGTAAGCAGAATCTGTTAGAAAATTACCATCTCATCCATTTTTAATAGCATTTGTAATAAAATTTTTGTATATAAATTAGTATCTTACAATGAATATTAAGACAGGGTTTCAAGAATCTTGAATTGAAAGAAATCTTTGGCCAGTTCTCACTATACTAGTGCTTGCCCATTGCTACCTATGTTTTGGCTTCATTTTTATTTTATCATCTCTTTGAATGAAGAAAAAAGAATCTCCCTTGGGCACAGCAGCTCAGGCCTGTAATCACAGCACCTTGGAAGGCCAAGGTGGGAGGATCACTTGAGCCCAGGAGTTCAAGTGGGTGTGATGGTGCCTGCCTGTAGTCCCAGCTACTCTGGAGGCTGAGGCAGGAGACTCACTTGAACCCAGAAATTTAAGGCTGCAGTGAACCATGATTGTGCCACTGAACTCCAGCCAGAGTGACAGAGCAAGACCTGTCTCAAAAAAAAGAATCTCTCTGTTGGAACAATTCAAATAGCTGTCATTTCGGAGGTTATTTATGTTTTACTTAGACTAAAACATTAGTCACAGTTCATTGTTGAAAGAACTCGTGTGGTTTTTAGTCTCAAAATTTATTTTTAAATTTATGCCAACTTTTAGCAGCAATCAAAAAGTTGATACTTTTGGAGAGGGGATACTTCTGGAGAGAGGAATTGGTCCTTAAAGCAGATGTTAAAGATTAATTCATTTTACAAGTAGCTGTCAAAAGCCTACTATTTGTAAGGCGCTATACTAGATGCTGAGGATATGGAGGGAAATTCGACAGAATCTTTACCTTTAAGGAAATACCTAGTCTAAATGAAAAGATGATACATTAATAGGTATTATTTTCTTTTCTGATTGTAAAAGTAATGCATACCAATTGCAAGAAATTTGTGAATTACCCAAGGTCCCAAAAAAGTTTATTAGTCCTCTCATTCTGGATAAATTACCATTTTAATATATGCTTTTCTTGTGTTTTTATACTTTTTTACATATTTAAGACCACACTATATATCCATTTTTGTATCTGTTTTATAAGCATAATGTAAACTTTTCCTTGTTAACAATTTGATGAGCTTTTTTGTGTTTAAAGCATTTTCTCTAATGTTTTATTATTCCTGAGGACCAGTTGTTCTAATTGAAATCATTAGAAAGTTTGAAGTGAAAGTTTAAATACTGTTGACACCATTTTGTTGTTTTCCCAAAAGGTCATCATTTATAACATTTTTCACTAGTTTCTTCTGTTGTCCTTTTATTTTATTTAGAGTTGTTTGAAGTGCAAAAGTTACCAGGGTTTTTGTTTTTTTGTTTTTGTTTTTGGCAATACCTTTTCCTTTGTCCATAGATCAGTGCATGTTTAATAATGAGGGAAATGATCACATTTAAGGAAACAAATAGATAACTATAATTCACATCTTAACATTTGAAAACAACACTGATGTTCTACAGGAGTATAATAGTTAGATTATGGCATAACTGTAGAATGGAAACATGAAACGATTACAGGTTGATACTTACCAAGATTTTGTAAGATGAAAAGATTATTAAGTGATAATCATATAAAATTATATATATAATTTGATTCTACATGTTAATTGAGTAGTCTTAGTACAGTGGAATGTTAACAAAAGTGGTAACTTTTTTTCAGTCACTGCTTTCAACTGTGCTCTGTTGGATTCCCAGATTCCCATCATTTCTTGGACAGATCCTGTAACATTCTGGTTGCTTTCCATTTTTGAAGCATAGTTCAGTTTTAAAACCTTAGTCTTGTTTCTGATTCAAATCTCTTTTCCTTCCCCCTTGAATAGAAGTTAGAACTGGGAACATGACTAAAGTAGGAGGAGTAGGAAGGAGGTGGTGCAGCTGGCTCTGCTGGAGGGAGAGGGAAGGCATCCACCTTCTGCAGTACATTTTTATAATAGCCATTATGCAGATTGGTTTGTCATCTTGAAAAATAATCAAGATGACATACATCTTGATTATTTTTTTTTTTTACGTGACATACATGTGATACATTCCCAAGGGTTTAACTAGACATTGGTAAATCAAAAAAGATCTGCAAGGAAGTAAAAAATTACCATTTTTATTGAGGGGGTATGGTATTTGTAAAAACATTTTATAAGTGGGGGAATAATAAAATCATTTAAATGTCTCAAAAGTTGTTTTTTTAAGGGAAAACATAGGTAGTCTTTGAAATTAATTTAAAAATTTTTTGTAATAAGCCTTGATTCTCCCCAACTGCATTCCACAGGCGGTGGTTTGACAATTATGATAATTGTAGAATAAACATCAATAAACTTCTTTATTCTCACATTATGATATCAGTTAACAACATTAATACATTAATAGGACTTTTCAGTTTTTTGTTTTTGTTTTTTGTTTTTTTGGGATGGAGTCTCGCTTGGTTGCCCAGGCTGGAGTGCAGTGGCACTCACTACAACCTCTGCCTCCCGGGTTCAAGCAATTCTCTTGCCTCAGCCTCCTGAGTAGCTAGGATTACAGGCGTGTGCCATCACATCCAGCTAATTTTTGTATTTTTAGTAGAGACAGGGTTTCACCCATGTAAGCCAGGCTGGTCTCGAACTCCTGACCTCAGGTGATTTACCCACCTCAACCTCCCAAAGTGCTGGGATTACAGGCGTGAGCCACTGCAGCCAGCCTCACTTGCATTTTTATATTCTCTTGAATTGATAATTGAAACAGATAATGGTATTACTAACAATAAGGTTCCATACATCTTTCTTGAATACATGCAGTACATATTTACCATCAAATTGAAAAAGTAGACAAATTCCAGATTGTCATATAGCCTTATAAGCTGAGTTTTGAATTTTAATTTTAAGTGTAGTTGCAGGCCAGGCATGGTGGCTCGTTGCTGTAATCCTGACACTTTGGGAAGCTGAGGTGAGAGGATCATTTGAGACCAGCCTGGGTAACATGGTGAGACTGCATTCTAGAAAGAATTTAAAAATTAGCCAGGCACGGTGGTGCACACCTGTAGACCTAGCTACTCTAGGAAGCTGAGGCAGGCAGGAGGATGACTTGTGCCCAGGAAGTTGAGGTTGCAGTGAGCCACATCTGTGCTACTTCACTGTAGCCTGGGCAACAGAGGGAGACCCTGTTTCACAAAAAAAAAAAAAAAAAAAAAAAAAAAAAAAAGAAAGAAAAAGGAATTGCTCGTCATTGGAGAGTAAGCAATGGAGGAACATGATTAGATTTGCATTTTTAAAAGATAGCCCTGGATAATGGCATCAGGTATGGAAGCTAGGTCAGGTATGGAAGCCAGCTATGGAAGTTAACACTCTTAACTCCTATTGGCCATACTTGGATTAGATGGGTTAGATTGAATTTCTGGAATCAGAGTAAGGGAGGAGTCAAAACAGATAGAATTATCAATGTGAGCAGCTAGTCAAATGATTGTACCATTTACTGAAATGGGGAACACTAGGGAGAAAGCAGCTTTTTCTCTTTTAAAATGGATGCCTGTTTGACATCTAAGCAGAGATGTGAAATAAGCAATTGAATAAACAAGCTTGGAGCCCAGTGGAAACATCAGGGCCAGAGTAAATTTTATGATTATAGTAAAGAACACTGACTTAGTCGGATGGTAACAGATTTAGCATAGGAGGAGCCACCATTGCAATACGAGAATATGAGAGAGAGAGAAGATGCCTTGGAAGCCAGGAGAAAAACAGCTAAATAAGGAAGGGAATCATCAACCCTGTTGAGTGCCACTGAGAAAGTAAGATTTAAAGTGATCAATTAGATTTGACAACATGGGAGTCATTGGTGAACTTAATACCATATTTCTTCATTTCTAAAACATTTTTTCATATTTTAACATATCTGAAATAGAGATAAGTTTGTAATAGATGACAAGTCACCGTGCAACTTGGAGTTTTGTTCTCAATACTCTATAAGATAATGGTTCATCTTATAATTTATGGTGTTTCTGTATTGATGAAATGTAACTTCAGCAGAGTGTTGAGGATGGATATCTGATTGGAATGGATTGAGAAGAGACTGGTGCTTTGTTATCCACAGTAACATTTTCTGTGAAGATAGTTTTTTTAGTTTTTTTTTAAAGAGACAGGCGCTCACTCTGTTGTCCTGGGTGAAGTGCAGTGGTTGATCATAGCTCACTGCAGCCTCAAACTCCGTGGCTCAAGTGATCCTCCCCCACCTCAGCCTCCCAAGTACCTAGGACTACAGGCATATACCAGCTCCTTTTAAAAAATATTTTGTAGAATGGGGTCTCACTATGTTACCCAGGCTGGTTTGGTTTTAACTTCTTAGCTATCATTTTGTTAACCAGTTAAAGCATAGTGCTTAAAGCGGAACCAAATTCCTGGTCAAAGTAAAGACATACCACTCTGTAGGTTGTTTTTAAACATCAAAGAACAGAACAGTGGCCTTTATTCTAAGAAAATAGGAACAGAAAAGAAAGTATAATTACTGAGTTTCTATATTAGAATAAAAGGTAATATTCTATTATCTTCATGATCAATCTTTCATTCTTGGCATGGAATAAAGAGCTGAGGAGACACAGGATAGTGTAAAAATCACTTGATAAATAGGAACCCAGAAACTGTTCTACTACTGCTCTAGTGCTAACTAATCGTGACCATTTAGGCAAGTCACTGACCTCTATGGCACTTAACTTCCTGACTGGAAAAAGAAAGTTGACAAATGCTTGTAGATTCATTTTCCAGTTTTATAGTTCCATGGCTGTAATTTGGGAAGAAATAGAGGCATTAATTATTCAGCTACAGCCTTAGGAATATCTCCTGGTCAATACTTCTGTATAATGAAGTAACTAAGTTCTTATCAGACAGAAAATTACCACAAAATAATTTACATCAGGGTCAACCTATATGAAGGTAGGACATTGTTTTGTTCGACTTATGAAACATCTTTTTCTCTTCTTTAATTCTATCTTGTTACTGTCTCTAAGCCAACTGGAGCTCTCTTTCCCAGAATCATTAAGCCAGTAGGAGCTTTTTCTGTCTGGTACGACCACTTAAAGTCTTGGGTTCAGGCAGAAATTTTATTACAAGACATTCTACATGATGTTCCAACCATATTTTTATTTATTTTTTTTGGTGATCTTTCTTTTTTGTTTTTGCTAGATGTGCAGCCTTTCCTAGTTTTCCAGTCTGTTTTTTTTTTTTTTTTTGGCGCTTTTTGAGACGGAGTTTCGCTCATGTTACCCAGGCTGGAGTGCAATGGCGCAATCTCGGCTCACCGCAGCCTCCGCCTCCTGGGTTCAGGCAATTCTCCTGCCTCAGCCTCCTGAGTAGCTGGGATTACAGGCACGCGCCACCATGCCCAGCTAATTTTTTGTATTTTTTTTTAGTAGAGACGGGGTTTCACCGTGTTGACCAGGATGGTCTCGATCTCTTGACCTCATGATCCACCCGCCTCGGCCTCCCAAAGTGCTGGGATTACAGGCTTGAGCCACCGCGCCTGGCCAGTCTGTTTTTTTCATTACCTATTAAAGTTAGCTCTTTAACCCTCTCATGTTTCTTCTTGCCATTTCCAATAGTTATCTGCTTTTTTTTGTTTTTCATATATATGTATATGTGTGTGTGTATGTATATATATATATTTTATATGTGTAGCTGTATATATGTGTCTGTGTGTATATATATATTTGTTGTTGTTGTTGTTGTTGTTGTTCTTTCCTGTACCTTGTGCTTTTTCGGTTTCTTAATCCATCCCATTCAGGGCATTAACTTATTCACCCTATTTTTTTTATTCATCTTATTTTATTTATTTTTTAAGGCATGGTCTCTCTCTGTCACCCAGGCTGGAGTGCAGTGTATGTCATAGCTCACTGCAGCCTGGAACTCCTGGGCTCAAGTGACCCTCCTGCCTCAGTCTTCCAAAGTGCTGGGACTGTAGCAGTGCATACCACCACACTTGTCTAATTTTTTATTTTATTTGATTTTTATATTCATTCATTTATTATTTTGTAGAGACAGATTCTTGCTTTGCTGCCCAGGCTGGTCTTTAACTCCTGACCTCAAGCGATCCTTCCACCTTGGCCCCCCAAAGTCCTGGGATTACAGTCACGAGCTACCATGCCTGGCTTTGTTTACCCAATTTTACGTTAGTGAATTTCTTGCCCATTACAAATGTACAAGTACAGGTAAAGATGTAGTAAATAATTTCCATGCCTAGTGAGAAAGGGTACACAGAATTTATATTTAGTTATGGAGGTGATTTTTATCTTAAGAAAAAGGTGACATGATTCGGATCCTTCTGAATCGAGCCCTTAGGGTGTCTTATTTTGTATTTTGAATTCTGCACATGTTAGAGTGGTGATAGAATCAAAATATTTCTAATTCTATAACCTTAGTCCAGTCGCTTGATTATTTCTGCTTTCACATCCTCATCTGAAAAAAAAATTGAGCTTTATAGCTATGAATACTGTGTTGCTACTATTTTATCACAAGGATAAAGTAAGACAAATAACCTAGAGAAATAAGTTATATTACAAATGTAGAAGATTCTATTGGCTGTGTGTCATGTTGTCTCTCTCCTTCTCTCCTTTCTCTTCCCCTTCTTCCTCCCTCTCTCCCTCTCTCCCTTCTTCTCTCTTTTTATACCTGACTTGTGCATTTAGCTACAAGCTATTTAAGGAGACATTTTCTTATTCATCTTTGTATCCCTCTTGTTTACTGTGTGTCTGATATACTAGCACATATTTGGATGAATATAATATTTGAATGACTATACTAGAAAGTAAGTTTTTGAATAACTATAAAGTAAATATTCCTAACAGCGTGAAGAACTGTGTGCAGCCAAGAAATAAGCCCTTGGCAAGCAAGGTGAGAGGAGAAAAGCCTTTCAAAGAAGGAAACTGAAAAGGAATGGTTGGAGAGATACAGAGAACTAGAAGAGTTCAGTAATCAGCCATAAGATCAGATGTTTTAAGTCAGCAAAAGAGGTCCAATAAGATGATATCTGAAAAATATCCATTGTATTTGGCTATTAGGTAACCAATTGTCTGAAAGTAGTTTCAGTAATGTGGTAATGGATGGTTGGGTGAGAGGAGGGAGAGAGATTGTGTGAAAGCCAGATCATAACGGATTAAGGGGTAAATAGAAGTCGAGAAAGCAGATATGAAAAGTGTGCACTCCTTTAATGGCATTTGGTTGAGAAGAGGAAGAGACCTTAGAAGGCTGCTATAAAGGCATCTAGGGTCAGGGGGGTGTTTTAGCTCTGTTTTGTTTTTTGTTCTTATTTTTTTCTGTTGGAGACATTTGGTGTGTGGGCCATAGGAAAGAAGCATGAGAGGTTGAACGAAGATGAAAGAATGGAGAGGTGGGAGACAGACAGGAGCCAGAAAAGAATGTAGCAGTAGGCACACATAGGCAGAATAGTTAACTCTGACTAGGAATAAGAACCTTCATACGTGAAGAACAGAGAAGGGAGGAGGTAGGAATGGGTTAATACAGTAAAGGTCTACACTACATGAGATTTATTGTACGTATATGCAAAGACATGTGAATTGGCATGTAGCTTAAGAAAATAAATTGCAAGAAATACCTAAAGTCTGACAAATACCTTGGCTTGCATTTAAGTTAAATTTGTAACCAATATCTAATAATTTTTGTGTGTTTCTGAGGGTGGTAGTTTTCTTTGCTTGCTGAGTATGTCTGAAAATCCTATCCACTTAAGTAATCTTTTTTTAAAATGCTGCTGTTCCTTTTCAATGCACATCCTAGATTGCTGTAATACTTGAGAATTCAAAAGGTATGATTTATAATGAATGATACTAGTTATCCTGTGAATGATTACCATATAATTTTCATGCAGTTTTTGTTCAGATTTCAGCACTATGTGATACTAGGTACACATCTTACAGTTTATAAATTTTACTTTTAGAGTGCTTGTGACTTACTACTAAATTTTGTTTTTCTTTTAGTTATTACAAGAACTGTGTACAGTATTTAATGTAGATTTACCATGCCGTGTGAAGTCTTCCCAATTGGGAATTATCAGCAATAAACAGACGCATACCAGCGCCATAGTGAAGCCACAGTCTAGCTCCTGTTCCTATATCTGCCAGCACTGCCTCGTCCACCTTGGAGACATTGGTGAGCCTTTGCTGTGAAGGAATTGATAATACATTCATCCTTTTCTTTGGAGTAGTCATAGAAAGAAACTCTTTTCCTGTAAGCTGAGCATACACACACAATTTAGATTGTCATAAGAAGAAACTATAAAATGTGTTCTAAGGAACTTAAAATTTCTCAATATTTTTGGGATTGGCAGAGCATCTTGAAGAAAGTAACTTTCATATTAAGATTTAAATTTTATTAAGACTTTATGTAGTATAGGCAAATAATAAACAGCAAAAATGTAATCAAAGCTAAATTTTTCAAAGTGGTGCCATAATATTTTCTAAATTAAATGTCTGTACTCTGGTGGGGCTTGTAAATTATTCCTTCTGAAGTGAAATTGCCTTCTTTCTTTCTTACCAGTGCACTAAAAGTTCATTTTTAATTTTGCTTCCTTTTTAAAGTTTAATTTGTATTTCTGTTAAATGTATTTTATCTGGGAATATTACGTAACATTTATTCTCATTCATTCCTTTAAGGTGACCTAGAAAGGTTGTAAAACAAATTAACTATAGGATTATGTTTTGCTTGTCCTCAAATAACAATAAATGAAGAACATTATTGCTTTTAAGTTTGAAGATTTTAGATTTCTGAATATTACAAATCATCAGTTCCATGAGGAGGTCACATCAGAGTAAGCAGTGAAATTGGCAGGGAGATTCATTGATAGTGTGTTTAAGTTGTTTTGATTTAAATGTATTCTTTGCACACACATATTTAATATTGTGATAGGAATGAGGCATTTTTCAAAATCAATTTATAAGATATTGAAGAAATACATAATTTTCAGATCATATTGTATAGTGTATTTTGTTTTGTTTTGTTTTTAAGTGCCATATAACTCACCCCTTCTTGTGGGCCGGCTCCAGGTCACCAGCATAGTCCATAGTGGGAGCTGGTGATGCATGACACTGGAGGACCTGAATATGGGGTCTAGGTAAGCTTTAAAATTGGTTACATGCTGAATGTCCCAAATAAGGAAGGCTGATGGACACTTCACACAAAATCCTATAGTTAATTTGTTTTAAAGTATTTGCTTCGTTTAATTTTAAATTAACTTTAATGTCTTTATTATATTTAGAACTTAAAACTATAGCTGTTTTGGAAATACGACCCTACTATTTGTTTTTTGGGTTTTTTAAAAACTAACTTTCTTCTTCTCCTTAGCTCGATACAGAAACCAGACCAGCCAGGCAGAGTCCTACTATAGGCATGCAGCTCAGCTTGTCCCCTCCAATGGTGAGTGGGCCTATCAACCTGAGATTGACTGTGATACTTTGTCCTTTATAACAATGTGGCAGATAACTCAAGGCTCACCTTTGAAGTTTTATGAAAGCAATGAATGTTGAGTTTTGTTATTGTCGTGTTTTTCTATTTAACTGTACATTCCATGTAAACTGAAGTGAATTTTTGTTTTACAAGTAAAATGACTTTTATTGTCAGTAAGGTAATACAGATAGAATCTCTTAATATAACTTGATATTGTTTCTACAATTCTGGCTTCCTTAATTGCTTATAGAATAATTATTTCTTTAGATGCCACCATTTTTCCTGCAGAAAAACAATCTATTACCTAAAAGGTAACCTTGTAATGGCCCTAAACTAGGCATTAGTAGTAGTTCTTGAGTTAAAGAAGTTACACCAGATATTTGATGATTTTAACCATTCTTAATAAGAATTAAGACATTGAAATTTTTAGATTCCAGAAAGAGTCTAAAGCAGGGATGGCAGTCTGACCACACGACTTGTTTCACAGTGTCTATGGCTGCTTTCACACCACAGTGGCAAAGTTGAGTGGTTGTGATAGAGACCCTTTAGCCTACAAAGCTGAAATTATTTGCTATATAGCCCTTTGTGAAGCCACTCTCCACCGCAATTATGACTTTTTAACCTGTAAATGATATTGTGTACCATTGCTGAAGTGTGCCGTTGTACTTTATGCTGGTTTGTAATGAGGTAGTCCCATTTACCTTATCAAATACTCCCCGTTGTTTATTTGAGCATTTAAACACTGATCATTCATACTCTGATAGTAAGACTTTGTCATTCTTGAGGTTACTTCAGAATCTTAACTTTCTCCTGTAGGTCAGCCTTACAATCAGTTGGCTATCTTAGCTTCTTCCAAAGGAGACCATCTGACCACAATTTTCTACTACTGCAGAAGCATTGCTGTGAAGTTCCCTTTCCCAGCTGCCTCCACTAATCTGCAAAAAGCACTTTCTAAAGCACTGGAAAGGTATGGTTGATTTTTTTTGTTTGTTTTCTAGAGGACTTTGTAACCTGGAGCCTTGAACTCTCATACTTTGTTTTACAGAAAATAATGACCTATGCTTCTCTTATTTCTAAACATGTAGATTTGTCATAATTTGTGTATAGTCACTGAATTTCAACCAATCAATATCTGATTCAGTCCCAGTAAATGAGTACACAGGCTGTTAATACTGACTCATCTTGAGTGTGTTGCAGTTGAAAAATTAGTCAAATACAGAATTCTCTTTTGTGTATCAAGTAATAACTTGTTTTAGCAAGCCAGTGCCTCCTTAAGCAGTTGTAGCCATTTTGCTGCTTAAGATTCATGGAATTTTTTTCTTTCATTTCAGCCGAGATGAGGTGAAAACCAAGTGGGGTGTTTCTGACTTCATCAAGGCCTTTATTAAATTCCACGGTCATGTGTACCTGAGTAAGAGCTTGGAAAAGTTGAGCCCTCTTCGAGAGAAATTGGAAGAACAGTTTAAGGTTAGATTTCAGATATAGAGAATTTTTGTCTTGTCTAAATCAGGAGGCATAAAATTTGGAGGAAACTGACATCCAGTTTTTGTATTTACTTAATTGTGTGAACTATTGGTAAAAATTAAATTTGAAGCGTGTGAAATCCTTGCTTATATCCTCTCTTCAATTTAAACTGAGGTACAGTCTGTACAGACAAATATAGCAGTGTTTTCATTTGAGTAGCTGCCATTTGACAAAAATTATCAAAATGGAAAAAATAACTCCTCAGTTTTGAAACTACTATTTTTGATGGTTTGTGCATTCTTATATATGATTAAGTTACCTACTTTATAGATATTTGCATTCTGCAAACCAGGTTCTTTTTTTTTTTTTTCCTTTTTCTTTTTTTTTGTTGTCAGTCATCTTTGACTATGGTTCATTATTTCTATTGTGGTTGCATTCATCAGGATTGTGGTACTTTGAAGGAAAGGAATGAGGATTTCATTTAACGGGGATATCTTTTACTAATTTGAGGAGATAAAATTGACCTTTGTTCTGTTTATATATGTGAAAATGGTATTTTAGTATGTTAAGATATTAGCAGTTCAAATGTAGTATAATGCATAAAATAAGGGGAAAGTCAAAATTAAATATTAACTTTTTTTTTTTTCAGTTTATTCAACAAATGTTTGACTATTCAGTCACTGTTTTAGGCACTGGGTTAAACAGTAAATGACAATTTCAAAGAACATTTTACATTTCTTGGTTATTTCTAAGTATCTATATGCTTGGGTAATTGTGTATAATTGCTTCATAGTATTTCTGTAAGTTTTCTAAAAGTCAAACATTTGAAGAGATTGTAGAACTTGGACAGTTAAGTTCTACCAGCAGTTCACTGGTAAACTATTTTTTAGCCAAAAATAGTCAGTGTGAAATAGTTTTTACAGGAAATCATTTTTTGGTTGATACTTTCTATGTGCAAGATATTACACTAGATAATTTTAAATAGCTATCATTTGCTTTTTTTTAAATATACTTAGCCTCTGATATATGATTTATAGGGTTGGATGTGTGAAAAGAACAGCTAACTTTGTCATGGCGTAGGCTGTTTAGCCTGGAAATAAACAAGTCTAAATAGTTTTTATAGTAAGAATTCAGACATGTGAAGGATTATTTGAAAAGAACATGTCTGTCTTTCCTGAGGTCAAAACTAAAATCCTAAATTTTAAGTTGAAATCTATAGGGGGTTGACTGTGGGATGTTGTGGATTCTCCATTTTGGAGAGTTTAAGAGTCAGATTGACAGCCATCTTTCTTGGATTATTTAAGTGCAGTCCTGCTAAATAGGGGATTGAACTAGACGACTTCTTGAGATTGCTTCCAGCTCTGGTTCTGTGAAATACTCTCTAAATTGGTGGTGGTGGTGGTGGGTGGTCCCTGCCTTAATGAAATCTTCACCAAGTAAGTTATTCTAGTCTAGAAGCCTAGTAAGTTTTGCATTTGATTCAACCTCAAACGCTAACACTCTCTTCACATACATATTTCTGTATGTGAAGTTCTGGTGAATGTGTGTGGGCAGTTGCTAAAATACACTTGGAAGTATCATTCCAGCACTCTAAAGTTAAACATAGTATGAGGCAGATCTATTTGAAAGTTTATCCAGTGTTGAACTAGAACATTGCTGGAGTGAAATTTTAACATAGTGGAGTAAATTTTCTAAAGTATTTCTAAAGCATATATAGATAATTAGGATCATCAACATGTATACCTCAGTGTTTCTAACAACGTTTAGCTACTAAGCAGAAATGTTTACCAAATTGAGGTCCACTAAGGGATTTAAGGCCTGGGATCTAGGAATTGAGATGTAATACATTTTCTATAAGTTAAAGGTGGGCTGTTTGTTAATGGTATTTAGTTCAATATATTTCTCAACTCCAGTTGAAAGTTTGCGTAGCAAAATCTTATCAGTTCTAATTTGATTTTGTTCCTTGGAAGATCCTCTCCAATACAATCCAAATTTTAGGAAATTGCAACTGAATAACTTCAAACTTACTTGTAACCCTCTATTATTATAAGCTTATTTCTAACCCTTGTTCATTCACTAAGTTGTTTATTGAGGTCCTGCTCTGTACCATGCACTTTTCTAGGCTTTTAGAGATATAGGGGAAAACATGACAAAGTCTGTATCTTCATGAATTTGCATTATCATTTGTTAGTACTAGGGTGTGTTCATATTGATTAATACTTGTGTGCATACACTGGAAAATTATTCAATTGGCTATGAACCTCTTCAGTAGTATATTACCTTCTAAAATTAATGCCAGTGGATTTATAGATACAGGGAATACATTACCATATTATACTTGTAAGAAACAGTGCTTTTTGAGAAATACAACTAAATATTCTAATTTTATACCAGTATTAAGTATTTGTATGAATGCCAGCTTATTTAGAAGGTGAGTTGTAGAGATTGAAGGAGAAATTTTATGGGAAAATTCTGAGGAAGAGACAGGATTTCAGGAAATTTTGAGGAAAGATTAAGGCTTGATATCTTTGGAAAAGGGCTAACCATTCTAGAGATAGATATACGTACAATGAAATGGCAGATTGCAAGAAGACTGACAGTTGTGATAGAGTTCAAGTAGAATGAAATTGCATTCTCTAATGATAATATAAAAGACTTTCCTCTTAGAATCATACAACTTACTATGGCTATTTCAGGGTCTTTATGTAAATAAAAACAAAAATCTCAAGAGTAGTCTTGGCAGAGGCAGCTGTAAGTTTCTGACATGGTAGAATCTCCTGTCACTGCTGGTGGAACTGTAAGTTAGGATTATCTGTTTTCCACCATAATGCTGGTGATAATCCCTGCTCTCTGCAAAAATTTTCCCTGGGGATAGAGGAAGACTGGTTATAGCTAAAGTGTAGGATGAAACTAGGAACTTCTGTTAGAAAAGTATTTTTACCTGAAGGTAATCTAAAACAATTGCAGATATTAAAGTAGAAGAGTAATTCAGGTGAGGCACCAACTGTGAGAGTGTCTAGGTGATTGTTTATAGTGCTGGTTAACTGATCACTGTGAACACAGTTACTAAGAGGGCAAATGAAATTTGATGATCATGCATGTACTTCTCTAAGAGGGGAAAACACCAGTTGTAGAAGTGCCTTTAATACATCTTAGTGTTGCTTTAATATGTCATTTAGTATGTGTTCCAGAATATGTACTTGCTATGTCTTGTTTAGAAAATGTTTTAATGTATCAAGCCTTTGAAAGAGTAAATTTTATGACAAATCTAGGAAGTCATGCTTTAGGTACTCGGGGTTCAAAAAAGTATTTTTTGGATCTTTCTGTTGCTTTCTAGTGATTGGTCCCAATTTAATTTTTTAATATGTATATATCTTGTATAAAACAATTTCTAAAGGATGAAGATGTGTAAATTTATGGATGAATACTCAAAGACTTTTCTCAGGTCATATTTAAAAATGTATAGTTTCCTAGGGGAAAAAAGTTTGACAAAAGCTAAAACAACTCTGTGGTGTCTAGATTAATTCCTTTCAAGATAGAAAGTCAGTTTGGAAATAATTAGACCCAATCAAAATACTGGGATTGAGGGCAGAACCATTTACTCATCTGTAATTCTGTTACACATGGTGGTTCTAGATACAGACTGCCAGTTTAATTCTTGTGTCAAAGATGGTTCCTGTTCTTGATAATATATGCAGTACTTCTGTCTTCTCTTACAGAGGCTGCTATTCCAAAAAGCTTTCAACTCTCAGCAGTTAGTTCATGTCACTGTCATTAACCTGTTTCAACTTCATCACCTTCGTGACTTTAGCAATGAAACGGAGCAGCATAGTTACAGCCAAGATGAACAGCTATGTTGGACACAGTTGCTGGCCCTCTTTAGTGAGTATTCTTAACCTGTGCCATCTCTTTTGAAAAGCATCATCTTAAGCATTTCATCATTGTAGCAAAGCACAATGACATAAAATGCACAGCGTATTTCTTACACTGAATCAGGAGCTCAGAATAACTTTCAACCCTAAGTTCTGTCCTTTTATCTGCTGACACCTTCTCGTCAAGTGTATTTATAACATTTTTAATATGGGAAAGAAAGTGGCATTTTAGGAAGAAACTGTAAGATACTTAAGTGTTAAACAGAATATAGTAGAAGGCACATAATATTTTAATTTGAACTGGCACAGTTTCAGATTTCTTATGCTTTTTGAATACATTTTTTTCTTCAAGTGTCTTTTCTTGGCATCCTGTGCAAGTGTCCTCTCCAGAATGAGTCTCAGGAGGAGTCCTACAATGCCTACCCTCTTCCAGCAGTCAAGGTCTCCATGGACTGGCTAAGACTCAGACCCAGGGTCTTCCAGGAGGCAGTGGTGGATGAAAGGCAGTAGTAAGTGTTTTTAGAATTTCATGTTAACTTGTGTGCTTTGTTTGATATTCACAAATATGTAAAAACTGCCTTCTAAAATACAATGTTTGAACAATGGAAGACTGTATTTTCTGCCGACTCTCTGGAAGTTGAACTGAAGACCTCTTTGTATGCGTTTCATTTGTTTATTTGAATTCTTCATGTGAGGCTTAGTCTTAAGGATTCATGACTCCCTGTACACTCCCTTGTTCTCAGTTGCTGTCCTGGGGAAAAGGCATTTTTCACATTTCAAAGTGAACTTGAAGTAAAACCAGTTTGTTTCTTATCTGTTACAGTATTCCCCAATTTTCTGTTTAAGAGTTGAAGAGATTTTTATTTCTTTCATTTTTTTTATACAAAAACTGTTTGATGTTGTCTTACAGTAAAACTCAATTTGAATATTTGTTTATTTGAAACATAAAGATTGAAAGTTATTTTGATTCTCACCATTTTCTTTGTCATTGCTACTCACAGTAATTCTGACAGTTCTTAGGAACTGTTGATTTTACAATGATAAATGAAAACTTTCAGTGTACCTTTGATTATAGAAATAAATACTTCCATGATAGCTTAGCACCAAATAGGAAGTTCCTCCCCTGCATATTTTCATGGTATATTTAAGGAGGGTCTCTTTGCAAGGTTTGCTTTGTGGCCCAGCATATATATTGGCCAAGGTCACAACTTAGAAAATGCCTTTTTTAAGCCACTTTTAAGACCCTATGGGCCAGGTACTGTGGCTCAACAGCTGTAATCCCAGTACTTTGGGAGGCTGAGGCAGGTGGATCACTTGAGGTGTCAGGAGTTTGAGACCAGCCTGGCCAACATAGTGAAACCCCATCTCTACTAAAAATACAAATTAGGCCGGGCGCGGTGGCTCACGCCTGTAATCCCAGCACTTTGGGAGGCCGAGGCGGGTGGATCACAAGGGCAAGAGATCGAGACCATCCTGGTCAACATCGTGAAACCCCGTCTCTACTAAAACTACAAAAAATCAGCTGGGCATGGTGGCACGTGCCTGTAATCCCAGCTACTCAGGAGGCTGAGGCAGGAGAATTGCCTGAACCCAGGAGGCGGAGGCTGCAGTGAGCCGAGATCGCGCCATTGCACTCCAGCCTGGGTAACGAGAGCGAAACTCTGTCTCAAAAAAAAAAAAAAAATACAATTTAGCTGGGCATTGTGGTGCATGTCTAATCCCAGCTGCTTGGGAGGCTGAGGTAGGAAAACCGCTTGAACCCAGGAAGCGGAGGTTGTAGTGAGCTGAGATAGTGCTACTGCACTCCAGCCTGGGCTACAGAGTGAGACTATCTTAAAAAAAAAAAAAAAAAAAAGGCAAAAAAACCTTATAGTCTGTCTGCTTCATGATTGTCTTTTCTCATGTAACTATAAGCTCTTTCCATGATATTTTGTCATTGTCATGAATAGAGTTTAGGAACATAGCACAGCATATACTATGTACATTTCCTTTTAATGTTAGCATAGGTTTTAGTAATACAGATTTTCAGACATTGCTTCCTTACACAAAATTTTCATTTCTTAACTCAGGCTGTATGGTTTTTCCACTCCTGTGTACTCCAGAACTCAAACATGTTTAGTTCAGTATATTATATCAGTAATGTTACGAAAGAAGAACTGTGTGTTTTGCCACTTGCTTAGAGTTTTTATATTTATAGGTAGGGATTGTTATTTTTATTGTGTTTTCCTTTTTCTTACTGTTGTTCTTGTACAATTATCCTTTTGGCCCATTCTGTATATTCCCATTTCTTCTCATAGCGAAAGATATTCAGCTGGAAGGAATAGCTTTATTGGCAAACATTTTTTTCCCTTCATTTTTTTCTGTCATTTACTCTTTTCCCTTCCTCCTATCAGATTTACCAAGATGTTTAGAATTATGCCCTTGCAGGTATTTCATTCTATCTTAAATTATGTTAGTACTCATTTTGAAGACTAGCATGGGATATCTCTTTAAAACTGAAGATTTTCCTTATGTGTCTAATACATAAAGTAATAATGTTCATTTATATCTTTTAAGTAATGGAAAAACAATATTTCTTTTGTGAACTCAGAATTTCATATATATTCAAATATTCTTCAGTTTTTTATATCTGGGCCTTCTCAATTTCTAGAATTTACTTTCCCTTGTACTTTTTTGAGAACATACTCTCTTAAGCTAATGAATACATGGAATAGTGATTTCCCTTCTTAGAAAACAGTTACAGGGTAAAGCAGTATATCAATAGGTCATCCACTCATTCTGCAGTGTTTTCTCGAGAGCTTATGTGTGTTGCATGAAGACATTGTACCAGTATAATATTCTTTTTTAGGTCACTAACCTTTTTTTCCACCTATGTCTTATTACATCCTCAAAGGTTTGTAGCAGACATTGATTCTTCAATATTTGTTTGTTTATTTTTTGATATGGGCATATGTCAATATTTTTAAAGTAGCATATTCCCATATTTCAAAGTGTACAACTGTCCCAAATAGTTGTTAACTTAGGTTTTCCATGATGTGATTATTTATATCCAGTTTCTCTACCATGGGCACCTCACCTCATGCTTTTTTTTTTAAATAAAAATTGGTTGATCTATATTCAAAGGTAAGCTTCACACTATCTTAAGGATAACATGATTAGATAGATGAGTCTGCTGTAGGAAAATCAAAGTAATTGTTTCCAGGCCAAAACCAAGTTATTTTAAGCCATCAACATGGCTACTTCCACCCATCACATCTGTTCCCAACCTAGCAAATAAATACTCAAACTAATTGCATTTGTCTCACCTAAAAAAATCTTGCCTGGCCATATATATTACATGAGATTTATAAATTGCTCTTATGTTTGAAAGATAACAGACTTTGATACAAATGTTTATATGTAAAGTGATATTTATAAATCTAAATCCGTAATGGATACTTCAACATATGTCACTCCAGAACCATGGACACAGGTAACAAATACATATGTAGAACTTACTTATGAATAGTGGAAAAGGTATGTTCTAATATTTTGTGTGTAAGCTTTCACAAAAATTGACTGTGTATTAGGAAACAGAGAGGCTGTTGTAACAAGGCGGACTTTTTTGTACCATTAAAAAAAGAGGTATTATCACTTTGAACAGGGAATGTGATTTGTGTAGTATAACCATACCCTGTCACAGATTAAAGAACTAACAGTGGATTCCACAACTCATAATGTATGTGAAAGCTTTATAAAAACATAATGTGTTGTTTATTTGCTTAGGATTTTCTCAGCCTATTTCAGTTTTCCATGTTCAAAAGTGACAAATTATTTTCACTGTTTGTTGAATTAGGAGCGTGGGACATGATCTACGGTAGTAGTTCTCTGTCATGGAAATTTTTCCCCTTTGTTGTATCTTTATTATTTGTAGTATATCTTTGAAAATACATTTTTAAAAATTATACTGCCTTTGAAATGCTGAAATAAGAGGAAAATACATAAAGTCCAGGACCTATCATGGCTCATATGGTTTCTCTTATATAAAAATAAAATCTGAATTATTTCTTTAATTTACAGCATTTGGCCCTGGCTGATTTCTCTTCTGAATAGCTTCCATCCCCATGAAGAGGACCTCTCAAGTACTAATGGTAAGGGCTACCCTAACCTTGTGTTGTTGATGCAATTCTCCATCATTAATGGTGTGCTTAAGGCCAGAGAAGAAGAGGCTTTTGTGATGAATGTTTGACTTTAAATTCAGTATCTCAGAAGTGACTGTGAGCTCTACATTAAGTGGGTGGAGGTAGATAATGTGCTCCCAGTTCTTCTGGCAGCGTGTTCTCATTTAGCATCATTCAAATAGGAGTTCAGAAGAATGTGTAATACCTTCAGATGCTTTCTGTCTTTCCTTCCTCCTCATTCTTATTATTAAAAGAAAATTATTGTGAACATTGCTCTGTCAAAGTAATACTCATAGAAAATTTGGTACAAACAAAAAGAACACACATCTCCCATACAGAGATACCTTTTACTATTCATGATAGTATATCTTCTTTGGACCTTTTTCTTACGTGTACACACACATAGGAAATGATTCATATCAAATATAATTTTGTGCCTGATTTTGAAATTTAGTATTATATTGTTAGCATTTTCTTTTGTCATTAAGCATTTTGAAAACATGACTTTTACTGGTTTCATAATATTCCATCCTATGGAAGTGCTATAATCTATTTATGCACTCTCTGTTGCTTTAAAATTTTCCCCATTTTAGTTAATGCTGCACTGAACAATCTCGGGCTTGGCTGCTTTCTGGTTTTTTTTTTTCTCCTGTTAAATTAGTGCTCCTCGGGCATTAATTTGCACATTAATCACCCAAATCTTTTTAAAATACAGTTTATGAGTCAGTAGGTTTGAATTAGTGCCCAAGATTTTGTATTTCTTACAAGTTCTCAGATGATGTCAACGTTATTCAGTACTTTGAGTAAAAAGAGACAGGTAATCTAAACATTGGGATTACTAGATCCAAGACTATGAATTTTTAAGACTGCCAATTTTTAAAAAAGCCATCCTCCTCAGCATCGAGTATTAGGGGAATGTCTGTGTCTCAAAGATAACATGCAGAGTTTTGACAGGTGAGTTATTTTCATCAGGATTACATAAAGAAGAGTAGAGAACAAACTATAAGCATTATAATTACTTTCTGTATATTAATTTTTTAAAAAATTTAGTGAGCAGTATTCTACCAAACAACATTTTAATTAAAATGTTTGCAAATTTTGATTTTGACCCTTTAGCAACACCACTTCCAGAGGAGTTTGAATTGCAAGGATTCTTGGCGTTGAGACCTTCTTTCAGGTAGGTGATAGGTGAAGTGCTTTTACTTCATTGCCAGTGATTGCAGTTGTTATTAAAAATAACAGGGAATTGGGCTTGGATATAGAGGAATCTTTGATCTGTCCCAGCTGTGTGTTATTTTTGTAACAGCAACTAATAGTGAAAGTTTGTTGTGAATTAGATTTGTATCTGTCATGTCTTCAGTTCCCATGTAATAAAGATTAAAGTCTAACCTTTCCATTTTTGCCCTTGATCCTATCCCTTCTCACCTCCCTAAGAACCTTGCTCCATCCAGTATCCTATCTGCATTATATTTCCAGTGTCTTTTCTTTCCTTTTTTTTTTAACAACTAATTCCCTTTAGCCTAGTAACATTCAAATGTGCCCCATTCTTTTAAAACAGTAAAATGAATTTATATTCTCATATTTTCCTACGTTGCCTTATCTTTTCATCATCAAACTTAAAAAGTAGTGTGGGCCAGCCTGACTGATTCCACTTCAACTCCCAGCTTAAACTATCAGTGCCCTTCTAGATAGGAAAAACCAGTGACTTCTTTACAATCTTCATTCTATTGAATTTTCTTCAGCATTGAGTCCGTTGATCCCCTTTCTTCATGAAACCTTTTTCCTTAGCTCCGTGATACTGTTTATTCCACGCTTAGCACTCAGTCTTTTTCACTATTACTTTTAAACTACATGCCTCTGAATGTTGTTGTTTTCCAGGATTCTTTTCTTCTCCTTTCCTTCCCACTTTCTACATTCTCCCCGTTGATGAAATCCATCCCTATGTTTGTGGGATGATAGGTCCCAAATTTTCAGCTCTGGCTTCTCTTGAAGTTTGGACCCATATTCTAACAATCTAATCTCCCTTATGCATTTTAAACTTTAACATGACCAAAAGTTGAGCTTATGTTTTGCTGTTTGGTCAGCCAAAAAACAGTCTTCTTTGCCTGTTTTCTATCTGTGCCTGTGGCATTACCATCCATATGACCAAGCTAGAAATCTGAAAAACCCTTGTTTCCATTAGTCTTTCTCACCAAGGCTTTATAATTCTATGTCTGAAATGCTTCTTAGGTTCAACTCCTTCCACCTATTTCCTCGTACATAGTTCAGGCTTTTATCACCAGTTTGCCTGAAGTATAAAAACCTCCCTACGTATAGTTCTGCTCCTCCTATAGTCTGTTTCTACACTGCCTCTAGAGTTACCGTTTTTACGTATAGAAACAGTGATATTCCATGACTCATATTTTGATTTACCCATTCCTGATTGCTCTACTGTCTCTTTTAGCTTGATGCTCAAGTTTCAGCACTGTCTAGCTTTTAATTGTTCAGCCTCATTTCCTGCAACTTCCCCCAGTATTTACAAACCCTCTACGCTATGTGCTGTCCTTGAATAGCTCCCTATTTGTTCCTCCACACCTTCGTTCATGTTGTAACTAGAACATTTTCTTCTCTTCTACTGCCATTCCATCACCAGACTGGTAAGCGCTTACCCATACCTCGTCAAGGTCTAGCTCAAGTGTCACTCTGTGAAACCTTTCAGAGCTTCTAAGAAGGAACTCATCCTCCTTTTACTATATTCACTTATTCTTTGCATAGTTTTTATTATGCTGCTTATCAGATTGAATCATTATTATTTATTCCTGAAGGTAGGGACTCAGCATCTAGCCTTCTGCCTGGCAATTCTTAAATGTTCTTTTTTAATAAAGTTAGAAATCTGAAAAATCATTATTTTTTCAGTTTGGCTTACCCTTCTGGTATCAATGAGTTGCTCTATGTGCTTTATGATATTGACACATTTTTCTGATTTAGAATGGACCACCATAAAGTGGATAGATTAATACTGTTTATTAGAATAGGCACCTCAGAGACTCTTAGCATTCCCATGGCCATTTCAAGCAAGTTAATTAGCATGCAAGATAAGTGTTTATAAAACTTTATTCTTAAAATGATAAAAGAATCTTTCTTAATAAAAAGTTGTGGTTTATTTGATTTCCCCAACTAAAAAGTGAAATGTAAGTAAAAATACTACATTAATATAATGAATTTGTATATTTTCTTGTTTCATAGTTTGTAAAAATCTTTGGGAGTATAAATTCTAATAAATGCAGTTGATTACATCAAGTAGCTGACCTATATGGAAAATAATCTGAAGACATTACAGTTAATCAGGTGTACTTAGTTGCCTGGAAAATATCTTTAGCAATTTAATATTCTCATAATTTGCTTGTGTCAATTTTAGGAACTTGGATTTTTCCAAAGGTCACCAGGGTATTACAGGAGACAAAGAAGGTCAGCAACGACGAATACGACAGCAGCGCTTGATCTCTATAGGCAAATGGATCGCTGATAATCAGCCAAGGTATGTCCATGGAGCTTCTGGTCTACCCCTTTTTAGATACACACACACACACACACACACACACACACCCACCCACCCACCCACCCCCCATGTTATGTATTTTAAGCTTTGGTATAAATATTGTCAATCATGAACTCTTAAGTCAGCATGTTGGTAGCACAACATCTAATTATCACCCAGTGATAATAAATATACTCTTTATTCAGAATCTCCATTTTCCCCATTACACTGTGTATTATAGAGGATTTGGTTGTCCTTTTTGTTTATCATGAGTTGCTGCTCTAATTTGTAAATATCTCTGTAAATCTGGCTGAATTGTACTTTCACAGTCATGGTAATTTGTATTGGCCTGGGCACGGTGGTTAGTTTCAGGCAGGACAGACCAAAATGGTGCTAGTAGCTAATTACGCACAAACCAGATGTGGTATTGTAGGGGAAAGAATGCAGGTTTTGGAATTCGATTGGTTTGAGTGTCATTTCTAGTTCTGCAGCTTCCCAAGTGGGTGTCCTTGGAATCTCCCTGGTAGATTATAATCTTTCCAAAGTCAGTAACTAATTCATTTTTGTATTCAAGTTCCTGTCACACAGTAGGTACTTAAATGCTTGCATATTTGAATGAACTTACCACCTCCAAGCTTCAATTTTCACATCTATAAAATAGGAGTTATATATAACTACCTTATAGGAAGTATCAAGGGCCCTAGTGTCTTGCACTTGAAGCATCCCGGAAAATGTAATTACTAGCAAACATTGAAAGAGCAGAGGGATATGTTGTGATGATGTTAAATGTGATAATGGGAACCTCAGTTTCTACATAACTACTTTTTGGGTTTTCTGAGTCCGTATCGCTATATCCTGGTGTTTCTGTGGTTCTTAGTGCTAGGAATATGTTGACTTTAATCCATACACAATTCAGTTGTTACTATTTTTTAAGTTAATGTTTTTCATGTATGGATTTATTTTTGCTTTTTTAGGCTGATTCAGTGTGAAAATGAGGTAGGGAAATTGTTGTTTATCACAGAAATTCCAGAAGTAATACTGGAAGACCCCAGTGAAGCCAAAGAGAACCTTATTCTGCAAGAAACATCTGTGATAGAGTCGCTGGCTGCAGATGGGAGCCCAGGGCTGAAATCAGTGCTATCTACAAGCCGAAATTTAAGCAACAACTGTGACACAGGAGAGAAGCCAGTGGTTACCTTCAAAGAGAACATTAAGCCACGAGAAGTGAACAGAGACCAGGGAAGAAGTTTTCCTCCCAAAGAGGTGAGAAGGGACTATAGCAAAGGAATAACTGTAACTAAGAATGATGGAAAGAAGGACAACAACAAGAGGAAAACTGAAACCAAGAAATGCACCTTAGAAAAGTTACAGGAAACAGGAAAGCAGAATGTGGCAGTGCAGGTAAGCTGTATTTGAACTATAAAGCAGGTAGAGGAAGGCTCACACAAAAGGCAAGATTTTTTCATTTTGTTCTAAAGGCATGAGAATTGGCTGTCCTGGAAGTTCAAATGCATAGTAAGGTTATATAAAGAGCTGTGATAGATGGTTACTTTAGCAATTCTTGGGAATTGGGAGTAAAAAAACATCTCAACCTGGTTTGACACCTTTGTCAATTCTCTCCAATTTAAGAGTTTGAAAGGGTCAGTTGCAAAGCCATCACTTACACCCAGAATTATATTTTCTTTGGAAGATATAATTATCATTTGTTAATGCTATAGTGGAGATTTGGGGTCTTCTTTAGATCCGGTAGAACCAAGAGTATATAAAGGCATATGCAGGTTTTTAAATTTTTTTTGGTTCACAATTTTATATGTATGAATATGTGTGTGTGTGTGTGTGTGTGTGTGTGTGTGTGTGTGTGTGTGTGTGTGTATACATAAAAATATTGATATATATTTTTTTCTTGGAAACATGTGAGGCTTTTTTTCTTGACATTTATACTTGTCCCAGCTAGTGGTATTAATACCACTTTAATCTTATCCTGGATCCTAGGAACTTATAAAGCAAGAACCCAGGCTTCTTGCTGGGAAAAGATAAGCACTGCTCAGTTATTTGTGACTTTATTTTTATTAAAATATTTTTCCAAATAGATGATGTCATATAAACAGAAAAAGACCTTTATTCTGTGATGGTTTTATTAATACTATTAATGTTTGACTAAATACTTAAGTGGCCATGTGATTTCTTAACACATTTTAGTAAATGAATGTGTTTGCATGAGAAACTTTACATTGTTGAAGGCTGCTTACAAATAAATAGTACCTTTGATGTATTTCTCTAATTTTTTTGAGAAAGAGAAATAAGAAAATAATTCCATTTTAAGATTATAGCAGGGAGAGAGAAAGACAAGGTAGAAATTAAGACATGGGGGGAGTAGGAGATACTGGGAAAGGGCAAGGGAAAAAACCAATGAACTGGAAAGCCAAAGGATCAGAGTTACAGGGATAAGTCCAGCATTTTCTGCTTGCCTGCCTCCATTCTCTATAACTGCTCTTAATAAGGTCCAGACTGAAATAGTATCTCCTTTTTGGTTTCTTATCCAACTCAAATCACCAATAAATGATTAAAGAAAGAGTCAACATGTCACCACACTCTGTACCTCTTCCTAAGTTTTCTATAAATGCTACTCATTTTCCCTCATTTTGCTCAACTTTGAGCAATGCATATAACATCTACGTCTCTCTGGCTCCATCTGTAGGATCTTGGGGCCTGGGCCTTACTGCTGAATGTATCCTTATTTATTCTGAAGGGTGGTAAAGTTGCAGGGTGGAGGGTGGATGCCTGACTGTCTACTTAGGCTACCCAGATGAAATTAAACTGAGGGCCAAAATACCTCAGCTATGGGTTAATAGTCATTATTAATTCATAACATGTATGCTATTTAATGAATTAGAGTATAGAGTACCCTGGGCCCCATAACAAGCACCTTAAGATCATAGACAAGTTTTTTTCAACTTGTTAGCATCAGGTATCTCATTTTTAAAACAAATGTGCCCTAAGGTCCTTTACATATTTGGATTTTTGCAAGCATGGCAAAGCAAAATAATTTGTAAAACTAAGATAGTAAAATTACCTTTTATTGGCGATTAAATAATTTGCTTTGATTTTCCATTTTTAACTTAGGTGAATTTAAATGTCTTTAGCATGTACTTTTTGATCTAATGAGGTTTTAAATACTTTCTTAAGAGTAGGGGCTTCTTTCTGACACTTTTGAGTTTCAGTTTATTATAGATCGTTTTGCTTCTGTTGGTCATAGGTAAAATCCCAGACAGAACTAAGAAAGACTCCAGTGTCTGAAGCCAGAAAAACACCGGTAACTCAAACTCCAACTCAAGCAAGTAACTCCCAGTTCATCCCCATTCATCACCCTGGAGCCTTCCCTCCTCTTCCCAGCAGGCCAGGTAAATACATGTTTTGTAATTTCTTCTACTTAATCTTTTCTGTGCAAGAATTTCTGTTCACTCACTGAGAAATGTATATTCTGTTGGAGTAATGTTGTTAAGCCATAAAAAGTTATATTTGCCCTAATGCTTCTAAAATTACTTTTGAGCTGTTTCTGTGTAGTGTACATGCAAGTGCATGTTTGTTGTTACGAAGGAAATCCTATCACTCAACACAGAAGCTGCTTACAGAATACTGATTACTTCAGTGGATAAAGGAAAAGTATCAGTCTAGTTTTTAAAATCAAGTTAAAGATTGACAACATGGCTGATATCTTTTATGATATGTTGGAGGACTCCCTCTACCCACCTGTAAAAAAAAAAAAAAAAAAAAAACATTTTTTTTTTTTTTTTTTTTTTTTTTTTTTTTTTTGCTGTTTCATTCGAACTAAAGCTGTGTTCTTCTGTTTTGAAGGGTTTCCGCCCCCAACATATGTTATCCCCCCTCCTGTGGCATTTTCTATGGGCTCAGGTTACACCTTCCCAGCTGGTGTTTCTGTCCCAGGAACCTTTCTTCAGCCTACAGCTCACTCTCCAGCAGGAAACCAGGTGCAAGCTGGGAAACAGTCCCACATTCCTTACAGCCAGCAACGGCCCTCTGGACCAGGGCCAATGAACCAGGGACCTCAACAATCACAGCCACCTTCCCAGCAACCCCTTACATCTTTACCAGCTCAGCCAACAGCACAGTCTACAAGCCAGTTGCAGGTTCAAGCTCTAACTCAGCAACAACAATCCCCTACAAAAGCTGTGCCAGCTTTGGGGAAAAGCCCGCCTCACCACTCTGGATTCCAGCAGGTAAGTTATAGATGTGTGTACTATCCAGCTGAATGAAATAAGGGGAAACGCTGAAAGAGTCAGTGTTAGAAGTGCTGATTAAACTTTGAGATACTTCTTCCTTAGATTTATAGTGATTATGGGAAAACAAAAGTATTGTCTCTACTGTTACGAAAGTTTAATGTTTTCCTTTTGTAAAGGATGAAATATTGATCTTAACTACCATTCCTTGGCTGCTACTGGCAGTTTTATTGAAAATAGATTTTCTGCAAATAATTCTCCTATAGGAACATAAACTACTAGGGAAATAGAATCACAGTCTTGATGAGGTACTAAGACAGATGTGACACCAATCTTAAATGTTGTCATTTGAAGCACAGCACTTGAAGCAGAAAGGGGAAACAGACACTCTTATGCAAATATATTCATTAATTCATTCAACCTCTTAAATAGTTTAATTGAAAGAAAATGTGAATGTGGTGCCCATAATCTGTTCTCAGAAAGCTCTGTGTATTGAAAAGGCCAAAAGGTAAAGGAAACTGCTGCCTTGCCTAGAGTTTTGTTGGTTGGAAAATACCTTAAGTTCATTCTGTGATTCTTTAGCATTGATTATAAGTAATATTGCATTTTATCCTCACCTTGATGACAGGCATCTCTTTTTTAGTATCAACAGGCAGATGCCTCCAAACAGCTGTGGAATCCCCCTCAGGTTCAAGGCCCATTAGGGAAAATTATGCCTGTGAAACAGCCCTACTACCTTCAGACCCAAGACCCCATAAAACTGTTTGAGCCGTCATTGCAACCTCCTGTAATGCAGCAGCAGCCTCTAGAAAAAAAAATGAAGCCTTTTCCCATGGAGCCATATAACCATAATCCCTCAGAAGTCAAGGTCCCAGAATTCTACTGGGATTCTTCCTACAGCATGGCTGATAACAGATCTGTAATGGCACAGCAAGCAAATATGGACCGCAGGGGCAAACGGCAAACAGTCTTCCGTCCAGAGCAGGATCCTGTGCCCAGGATGCCGTTTGAGGTGTGTATTCTTTCCTGTCACCCCACAATCTGGGGCTATCTTTTGAATATCTCAAATAGATCTTATAAAAAGGCCACTCTTGTTCATTAGTACTATTTGCCACTGAGTATTGGTGTAGCTCTTGGTTTCCTCCTCAAAATTGCACAGTATGTTTTAGTTTGGAAGCTGAAGAATTCTGTGACTGACTTTGAACTCTGATGGTCTGGCAGAGAAACCATGTACAGAAATCTCTAACACAGCATGTTAGAGAATTCTGAGACAAAGCACTCCTATCAGTTGGGCCGAATCATCTAAGTTTAAAAATAGGTTTACTAATATTTAAATAAATTGCTTTCTGAGAGGACCAAAGTTAGTTATCTTGGACAGTGGAGGTCCCTTTCCTTGCCCTTTTTATTCATGCGAAACAGGTGACTATTTGTAACTTTTTAAAAGATCTGTTTCTCTCTTTGGTAGCACAAGATATTCTAATCATTTTGCTCCACTGCATTGTTTTACTCACCAGCCACATTAACCTTTTGTGTTCTACTCTGTCCATATTTTGCTTTTCTATTATCTTGAACTTTCTCCATCATTGTCCTTGTGTCACTTTGCCTTTACATTTCAGAGCCTTTTTCTCCTTGCCTAATACCATCTGTTTCACTATCCCCTTGACTTTAGTTGTTCATAATTCCACCGAATTATGCCACTATTCCTTTATGCTTTTGTTATCCCTTATTGCATCTCACTGCGATCCTTTCTGTCACTAGGACCCCAAGAGCTCCCCTCTGCTTCCTCCGGACCTGTTAAAGAGTCTGGCTGCCTTGGAGGAAGAGGAAGAGCTGATTTTTTCTAACCCTCCTGATCTTTACCCAGCTTTGCTGGGGCCTCTCGCCTCTCTTCCTGGACGAAGCCTTTTTGTATGTATTTGACATAATTCTGCTTCTTGCTCTAACCCCCAGCTGCTTCTCTGAGATATTGTAGTACACAGATTAGGTGATTTTTTTCTCTTCCTGGGGCTGTCCTTTACAGAACCGTAAAACATATTTTCTAATTACCTAAACCAATCTTAAGATAGTAGTAGGATATAGCAGAATATTTCTGACTTCATAGTTCCCCCAAATCCTAGAGGCATGCCTTGGTTTTATGTGTTATCCAGAAAGAATCCTGCAGAGCTGGTCACACACAAGGTATGATGGTGACAAATTAATTCACTTTTCAGGTGACACTTCTATCTGGACTCAGAAATTTTAAGTGTCATTTAATCTTGTGTAGGAACAGTGAGATTTATTTCTCATAGGTAGCCAAAATATGAAAGGAAATATGCTCTTGATTTTTTTTTTTTTTTTTTTTTTTACTGACATTATTGAACAGTAAATGGCTCTTTTTTGTTTGGTTAAATGCAGAAAGAATCCTGATCTAAATTCACAGTTGGATTCATAAATAGAATGAGTAAAAATGAAGAGAATTCTAATTATAAACATTGTCAGAGTGTTATAAATGAGTAAATATGAAAATAAATAACCAGAATCACATAAAATACAATCTGAGAACTCAGCCTGCATTTCAAAGAACATTCTATATGCTTGTCAGTGTTCATATTATATTTTATTGTGAGTGGGGAGTATAACAGATGGAAAGGAAGATGTATGCTATGAGGCTTTTCCACCTCTCTTTATGACACCTTAATAAGACATAAAAAGATAGTGAATTTTACTTTCTTGCTGTTTCTCATAAACACAGGGCAAGAACACGTTTGTAAAATTAAAATGCATTAATTTTAGTATCAGGAAAAATAAAAGCTTAACAGCTTTCATGACATTGCTGCCATCCCTGGCACTTGAAGTTCCTTAAGAATTTGCCTGGGTGGTAGCAGTAGAGGCCCCATACCAAGTTATTAAATAATAGCAAGAAAAGATCCCCTGGAGACTAAATGGTAGTAGTGCCATGACTGAGTGCATAGGGGATTGTGGAAGCCCAGCTGCTGTACTGCTGCCTCTGCGTGTTCGCCTTTCTTGCTGCTTTTGTGCTGGAGTGGCTTGAAGGACTGAGGGTAGTGCCTGTCTGTCCACTTGTTTCCTAATCCCTTAGTTCCTGTTCCTGTTCCCTTAGTGTTGCTTTCGTTGGAAATGGAGCTGATGGTAGAACAATTGGGAGTGTTTTCAGGTTTTTTTTTTCATATTTAAAAAACGAGTTAAAAAAAACCTTGACTATAACTCTTCCTATATTTAACATTAATGATATATATATCAAAGTGCTTCGCTTGTCATAGGCATTTAGTAATGTTTTGTTAGCCAGCTAGTCAGTGGCAGCATAGAGATTCAGCTGTTTCTTTTAATAACTTTGCTAGAGCAATAAATGTAAGCTTGATTTTTAGCAACTATTTTAATATATACTGCAAATAGAGCTGCTTTAAAAGCATATTAACAAAGGCATTTGTCAAATGGATTTAAAAGGCTTTTTAAGTCACCAATGTAAATGTTTTAAAAATTGTGGGGTGGAGAGAAACAGTGTTGGAACAGTTCAGCATTTTGTTTTGAGATTGTTTTAAGTGCAACTGTTGACAAGTGGATTCCTGAGGTACCTGCCTCATAAACACTCAGAATGCAGTTTACCAGCATCTCTGGTCCCTGCCAGAATAGACTCTCTGACTAGATTCGATTATAAAAGGAGGATTCTATTCACCTGTGGCAACTGACACTTAGGTGGTGTCATGGTAGTAGCAGATTTGAGTTCACGTCTTTGGAGCCTCAAATTGTCCTTGATAGGCAAATACAGGCATGCTTAAATGATGGTCTTTGCTTTGGTTCCATAGTATCATAAGATTAATATTAAGAAAATGGAAGGTATAACTTAATTACCTTTTTTTCTGGGACTGAAGAAATCCTTATTGGAGAAGCCCTCAGAGCTCATGTCACATTCATCCTCTTTCCTGTCCCTCACCGGATTCTCTCTCAATCAGGTAGGTGAACAGTGAAAAATCCTGCTGTTTGCTTTTAGTGTGGACCTATCATTTTCTTTTGCATACTGTTTCAGTATGTCTGTTTTTTCCTTTATTTTCCATATATTAGTGTATTCCAGGCATTTGATTTTATCCCCCTTGTCTCTGATTGGGGCATACTAGTGGCTTGTTCCTCATTAGTTAAAACCCATTAACTCCTCATTAATATTGAAACCCTTAGGGCTCTGTTGTTGAGCCAAATAAATTATTCACATTTTCAACCTAGGAGGTTTACGTAGAGCAAATTTAAGGGTGAGAGAAAGCAAAGAGGAAAATTAATTTGACTGGAAAATTGAAGCAAACAAAAAAATAAAAGCCTTCAAAGTGTACCAAGCATCCATGAATAAGACATTGGATTTTCTCAAATCTCTTTCCTTGGAGTGAGTTTATAACGTGACCGTCATGTCTTTCAGGAAAGATACCCAAATAATAGTATGTTCAATGAGGTATACGGGAAGAACCTGGCACCCAGCTCCAAAGCAGAACTCAATCCCTCAATGGCTCCCCAGGAAACATCTCTGTATTCCCTTTTTGAAGGAACTCCGTGGTCTCCATCACTTCCTGCCAGTTCAGGTATTAACTATTTAAATTATAGACCTTGCATTTTCTGTACACTCAAATTGATTAAGGGATGATTCTGTAATTATAAATATATGTATCACTTGTTGGGTTTTTTTTTTTTTTTCCCCCCAGAAAAGAAAAAAAAAAAAAAAAAAAAAAAAAAAAAGCCAGTTTATGTAATGAATGCTACTGACAAAGATTTTTACACTCTCAATAGCCAGCAGAGGTATAAGGGAGAAAATAGAGGTTCTATCTTATGGTCCCAGCTGTTTTTTACTTTTGTTTGTAGATGTTCATTCTTTGCAGGAAAAGTTGCACTTTTTTTGAGACAGGGTCTTGCTATGTTGCCCACTCTAGACCCAAATTCCTGGGCTCAAGCAGTCCCTCCATCTCAGCCTCCCAAGTAGATGGGACTATAGGTGCACACCACTGTGCTCAGCTCTGCACTTTTTAAAATTGAGATTTTTAACTTCAGGGTTTTTTGTTTGTTTGGTTTTGGTTTTGGTTTTTTTTTTTTTGATACGGAGTTTTGCTTTTGTTGCCCAGGCCGGAGTGCAGTGGTGTGATCTTGGTTCACAGCAACCTCTGCCCTCCAGGTTCAAGCAATTCTCCTGCCTCAGCCTCCCAAGTAGCTGGGATTACAGGCATGCGCCGCCACGCCCAGCTAATTTTTTGTATTTTTAGTAGAGACAGGGTTTCTCTATGTTGATCAGTCTGGTCTTGAACTTGTGACCTCAGGTGATCTGCCCGCCTCAGCCTCCCAAAGTGGTGGGATTACAGGAGTGAGCCACCGCGCCTGACTTAACTTCAGTTTTTTAAATAGCGTCTGACTTAATAGTAATTCTTAAGGTTAGCAGATTCTTTCTGATATGTAAGACCAATAAATATTTATCTGAAATAGTCATGCCAGAATAGTGCATTCATTCAGTTGACAAAAATAGCCTACTATTTTGTTTTGCTTTTTTAAGGCAAAGAACATGCCTTAGGTAGCAGGGCAAATTAATGCATCTAGCAGATCTCTTTGGAGCCGTTAGTTTCCCTTTCCTTCAAAGCCCTGTGGTTATTGTTAGTAAAATTTTAGTGATCAGATCTACAGGAACCTGTAGTTCTTTGTATGTTTGTATAACATTGCTTTATTATATCCTATGTTGCTATTTAATAGACCATTCAACACCAGCCAGCCAGTCTCCTCATTCCTCTAACCCAAGCAGTCTGCCCAGCTCTCCTCCAACTCACAACCATAATTCTGTTCCATTCTCCAATTTTGGACCCATTGGGACTCCAGATAACAGGGATAGGAGGACTGCAGATCGGTGGAAAACTGATAAGCCAGGTGAGATCTACAGTTCATTGCCAAGCAAGATTGAAAGAAATTTACTCTATCCTTCCCTGGGGTCTGGCAATTGGCAGTGATAGAACACCTTCCTGAATTTTTCTTATCTCTTTTCATCCCTTAGCCATGGGTGGGTTTGGCATTGATTATCTCTCAGCAACATCATCCTCTGAGAGCAGTTGGCATCAGGCCAGCACTCCAAGTGCCACCTGGACAGGCCATGGCCCCTCCATGGAGGATTCTTCTGCTGTCCTCATGGAAAGCCTAAAGGTGAGTCAATTTCAGGAAGAAGAACCACAAGATTACTACAGCGAAGATGTCTCTGCTTTCATTCATAAACAGTCTTACTTCTCAGGTGCTGAGTTGACTGATGCATAGCACATATATAGCAAAGTCCTAGAAACATGGTCTGCCTCAGAAGAATCTTGAGTGATAATTTTTAATTTCTGAATTCACTAGTGGTAAAGCAGTATCTTCAGGGGAACAGAAACAAAGGTTTTAGTTTCATTCTAAGGTTAAGAAAATTCTGATTCATCTTGGAATGTTTGATTTAAGCTTTTTCTGACAAAATAAGAGTATCTAATTTTAGAAATGTTTTATTTGCCTAAAACCTTTCTAGTAAATGCCCTTGTGATACCACATACAGCTGAGTTTCAGTAAAAAGACCTGACATAAAATGTGATTTCACTTCTGGTTTAAAATAATCTTAATGGAAACTAACCAACTTTGAGAGTCATAATGACTTTTTCTAATAGCTGGATTTTGGGGGGCAGTGGGGTTGGGCTTTGGGGCTGTATATATGGCTTTATATTTGACTGGGATTGAAAAGCAAATCCCTTTCAAACAACTGGGCCTTTGACCTCTGCTGACAAGCTCTGGGCTGTTTTTCAGTCTATCTGGTCCAGTTCCATGATGCATCCTGGACCTTCCGCTCTGGAGCAGCTGTTAATGCAGCAGAAGCAGAAACAGCAACGGGGACAAGGCACCATGAACCCTCCACACTGAGGCCAAAGTGGCAACCTGGGAATGAAGGCTCCATAAACCATGGCATGTTGGGTTTGCAGGACTGGCCCACACAGTCCCCTGCAGGTGGCAGCCCTCTTTTCTGTTTCTCGCTGTCAAGAGGGTGTAAGTATTCCACCAGCCCGCTGAGTGTGCACGAAATGTTCGCAGTGCAACAAAAAGAAAAATCCATCAGGAACTCTCCGTCCCCCCGGGGCCTTCCGGAGGGAGAGAGAGAGGAACTGCTGTTTATCTCACTCAGTTACTTGGTATCACCGCCTCTCACCTTCTCCATCGTGCATGTCCCCAGCCACATGGGAAGTGAAAGCTGAGAAGGGAAGGCAGATGGGAGAAGCCAATGGGAACTTCTCAGTCCTTTTTTCCTCTTTGGGGAATAAAAATAGGAATCCATTAATGATTGCTTTGCTGACTGAGAATGTAGTTGAAATTATTCCTAAACATCTTTTATTGTTATTACTCTCAGTAGTAAAATATCACACTGAATTCTTCCATACACAGGTGTGCTTCTAGTCAGTGTGTAGCAAGGAAAGCCCCGTTCACCGCTCCTGTGAGAGGTTGGTGGTGACAGGATGGGGAACCGACCTCTTCAGCCAGTGGAAGTGTTCCATAAGGGAGAGTTCAAGGCCTCTGAGAAGGCTCTGGTAGGCCCTCCTCTGGCCTGGAGACTCCAGCAGGAAATGCCCTCCACTCTGTAGGTGCTCGAGCCCCAATCAAGGATGCAGTGTGGGTGGTGGTGCTGGGCTGGACTAGCAGGTGACTGCTGGAGGATTTCAAATTACGTTTTTGATTCCTGTACATTTTGCAGTCACATAGCAAGCAGTCTCACAGAAGGCAGGCTAGTCCATTCACAGCCTGGCACATTCTAATAGGTAGAAGCTTTCAGTGTGGTTATTTTTTGTTTGGTTGGTTTTTGTGCCCCCATTCTACTTCCCACCCTCCTGCCCCATCTCCATCCCTTCTTTACCTGATGCTCGTGATTGATTTTATTCCTAATGTGTGTGACATCACATCTTCCCAAGAAGCAGCAGCATGGGGTCCAGCAGTTGGGGCCCAAGAGACAGTCTGAAGAGGAAGGAAGCAGCGGCATCTGCACAGCCCACAGAGGGCCCAGGCCCCTGCCCAGCTGCAGTCTCCCAGCCTCTACTTTCAGAGTGAAATTCAAGGCAACACGGACATGTGCACATCACGCACAGAAGAAAACGACGTCGTCCATTTTGGAGAAGGCAAAGAAAGGAAAATAAACTCTTTGATATTTATTAGGAGGAAAGAGGACTGAACATGTTCTTGGGTAGAAACAGTAAGGACAGCATTTCTGTTAGTCATTTCCTGGAAGAGTAATATTTTAAGGGGAAATTATGGAAACAATCTAAATGTTCAATTGCTGTGCTAGTGGTAGGGTTTATTTTCTGGGAGGTCTCTCCTTTGTGTGTCTGTGAGTATGTTTGTGTACGCACACATGCCCATCTGCTGTCCCAAAGGGGAGGGGTTGTGTGTGTGAGCGAATGGTGTTAGTGTGGAACTTAAGAGCTGGAACACAGCTGTAGAGCAAAGCACATCCAGGAGCCCCGGTTGTCACTGGAGTCTGGGCAACCCCAGCAATGAAAAGGGGTGAGATAATGCTCATTGCTCTTCAGAGAGAGTGGTTAGAGCCCCTCCCCCCAGTGTGCTTACATTATTGCTCTTTTAGTTTGACATGGTGTTTGGGTTTTGTTTTGTTTTTTTGAAAGGTCTGAAAAGGTGAAGCCCCCCACCCAATGGCAATAGGAAACCTTTTGTGCTTCTCTTCAGCCTCTTCCCTGTGTCCACCTTTCTCTCCTCGTCCCAAGCCTTTTTCCTACTACCTTTACCCAGTTTGTGTGTTTGAGCTCTGCATTCAGGCAGCTGCAACATTCCAGTGTTTGAACTGTCACTGATTCTTGCACCCTAGACAAGCTAACCAGGTTTACCATCTCACTCCCAGTAATGCCCAGTTCCCATCTAAAGCCCCATTCTGCATGAGAATTTGGTGTCCGGAATGTTTTCTGACTCTTGGGGCGAGATTCCTCGCCTTATCATCCTCACTGTGGAGTAATGAGAAGGGGGAGGAGAATCTTTATCAGAAACTGGTTTTGTGTAGTAAACTTTCTTTTGTGGTTTTTTGTTTTGTTTTGTTTTCTGGGTTTTATTTTTTGTTTTTGTCTGTCTGTGCAAGACCTGCAGCTGCTGAAAATCAGCTTTGCCTTTAATTAAACCATGTTCTCTCCAACCAGATCTGTGTATCGATTATTTCTTTCCTATTCTAAAAGTTGATATAAGTATTGAAGAAAATCCAACTTGAAAGGCAAGAATTTCAACTACTAACACATCCGAGGAAAGACACAGATGGTCAGAACTTGAATATTTTTCAGGGTTATTTTTGCTTTTAGTAGCATTCCAGACCAATGAATTACGGAAATTATAATTAATTATAATGGAAAGGCATGAGTAGAAAGAAACTGATTATCAAAATTATTCTGTTTAATAAAAGAATGACTTAAGGAGTTAACAGCCCATCATTTTTATTCCTGTTGTAGCTGTTACTGAGGCAGTCTTTTCCTTGAATTATGTCCAAAGTTTCCCGTGGTAGATTGCTGGGTCTTCAGCTGTGTGCTGGAAGCCAGTGCTGTGGCTAACCGTAATGTCTGTGTGCTCACCCTGACCTGTCCTTTCGCCTAGGTGTTGATTCGGTTTGCAGTTCACTTCCTTATTCTGCTTTTCACAAGCACCTACACACTTGGAAAATTGTTAGCAAAGCAGTACATACACTACAAGAAGAAGTGGGTAGGGAGAGGAATTAAGGCCAGGCCTTAAGGTCTAATAGTTATAAAATCCTTCATCCAAGTTAATCCTGAAAAATTGGATAATTGGGTTAACCAAATCCGTTGCATTCTGTTATGCATATTAGTACATACAGTCATTTACCATATAACAACGTTTTGGTCAACAGCAGACTGCATATTCAATGATGCGCCTGTAGATTATAATACATTTGTACTGACCTTCTCTATGTTTAGATACACAGATACTTACTTACCATTGTGGTATAGTTGCCTACAGTATTCAACACAGTAACACGCCATACAGGTTTGTAGCCTAGGAGCGGCAGCCTCTACCTGGTAACTTAGCTGTGTAGTAGGCTATAGCATTTAGTGTGAGTGCACTCTAGATGTTTGCACAACACATTTCTCAGAACACGTCTCCGTTGTGAAGCAATGCATAACTATATTGCCAAGTGTCAGCTAACAAGATAATACTAACCAACTGGTTTCATGAACACTGCTGCTTTTCATCATTTAAATGTCAGTGACACATACTCAGTATTGAGTTCGTAACACATTCCTCTCTCAGGAGTACAAAGGTATGTAATTCTAGTATTTAGTTCGCTGTGGAATTGAGTATTGTATTTCCTGAGAACCTAACTCAGTCCAGGTTCTGTTTAAGCAACAAGACTTAATGGAAAAAGAAAACAAGTTTATTTATATATGCCTTATGAATAACCTGTAATGTTATTTCAAGCCTTCAGAGTCAATTATAGTAACGGTTCAGAAACAGGAATATTTATACTTGGTCCTTGAGCCTGGACGTAGGTGTCTTGGTTTTTGAAGATAGGTTTTTTTTTTTTTTAATTGAGGTATGACACAGGAAAGTGCACCAACCAGATGTACAGCTTGATGAGTTTTAACAGTGAACACAGCTGGATAGCCAGCACTCAGAGCGGAAAAACAGGATCAGCACCTAGAAGACCCTCTCATGCTCTTTCCAGACACTTCCATCTACTTTTCGTCTCCCCTAACTCCTCCATTCACCTGTCCCCATCCCCTCACCCCCTGTGCCACAAGAAATCATCCTGGGTACTCACATCATTGCCAAGTAGGTTACATTTTATGAACACTTCCAAACGGTAATGTCTCAGTACGGGGTACAGCAGAAGGGTGCTAAATTTTACAAGTAATAGGGCTTCATTTTCAGCTTTGCAGTTTGTGAAACATCCTAGGCCTCTCTCGGAGTGCTTTCCAAATCTGTAGTAGCGCATTCTTCAACAAAAACTTTGGGGAAAATGCCAGCCTTTCCTTTGCACTCCCCTTCCAGCCATTCTTCATTCACTGATAAAAGGAAAAGTACACATCAATTTCTAAAACCAGCGTTGGAAGATCACCCAGTCTGGGTGTTCCACACAGAATATTTTATCGGTCACCCTTCCCCACCCATAATTGTGATCAACAGGAAAAAGACGGTAATTCAAAGTGGTTTGAGAGTGAACACAGGGTTTAACCATCTTACTGATTTGTCTTAAATATGAGAATGATGGAGCAAAATGCAGAAGGATGAATTATGTTTTTCAAAAAGTTACCAGATGGAGAAGTAAGGCTAAAGAAACTGAACAATGAATCCTTAGATAGACTTTCCATCCTCCCTCTATCCCCAACCCTCAACAGGGTCTCACTGTCGCCCAGGCTGGAGTGCAGTGGAACAATCTGGGTTTATAGCAACCTTCACCTCCGGGGCTCAAGTGATCCTCCCACCTCAGCCTCCCAAGTAACTGCGACTACAGGCCTGCTTGGCTCATTTTTGTGTTTATTAGAGATGGATCTCGCCACATTCCACAGGCTGCTCTCAAACTCCTGGGCTCAAGTGCCCCCCCACCTCAGCCTCCCAGAGTGCTGTGGTGATAGGGGTGAGCCACAGTTCCTGGCCCAATTATTTAAGAAAGGAGAGAATTTTACCTGAACTTTGTTGGAAATCTTTATTTTGACTACAGAAAAGGGACATGCCATTGGTTAAATACATTAAAAGTGAAAGTTCGTTAGTAAACTTTCGTCTTTTCAGTAAACTCCATTAAACAGCTGAGTTGGAGCTAGTGATGGGTTAGTACATGTTTGTAAAATACAAAGATTTTAATAGCTCCTATTCAGAGCCTTTAATAGCGTACAGGCATTGTACTTAGAAAATATATTCAGACTTCATAATAACTTATAGATAATATCCATATTTTACTAAGGAAAAGGAGACTCAGAGAAGTGAATAGCTTGTTCAAAGCCATTCTGCCAGTAAAAATCAGATAACTTAGGTATAATCTCCAAAGCCCGCACACCAGACCACACAGCCAGTTCAAAGTTTGTCATTGTGCATCTAGATCAGACATTTTTAGGGCACTGGTGCCTGGATCCTGCCCCCAGAAATTCTGCTTTAATGTGAGGTGTGACTGGGCAGCAGTTTTTTCACAAGTTCTCTCAGGCAATTCTAAATACAAATCACTGTCTTGAGTCTTTCTACTTATAGGGTAGGTTGCGGACTAGAAACATTAGAAATGGAAAAATCCCAGACCCCAACCCAAACCAGAGTCAGAATCCATTTAGGAAGATCCCCAGGTGATTCACATGCACATTAAAGTTTGAGAAACACTTTGTAGATGAAACCATCTCATAACTATCGAAAGCAGTTGAACTCCCCTCCTACCCTGACTGCATGCTAAATTCTGGTTTCAATTGAAGTGTTATGATATGGGTACCTCCTCAACTTAGACCTGTACAGATGGATCATAGTAATAAGTGCACTGCTTCTCTCCATATCTACCCAAAAGGCGGTTTTAGGTGTTCGCTCATTTTATTCCTGCTCCCTCTCCCAAACGATGGACATTCGAGCTGGTTGATTGATTTAGGAAACTAGAAAGTGGCACTGGGAGGTGTTCAACCCAGTTCTTCCAGAGACACCATTCGCTCTTATTGGAACACTCTGCATATATATATATATATACATACATATACATATACACATACATATATACACATACACACACACACACATATATATACACATACACATATATATACACATACACATATATATATATATATATATTTTTTTTTTTTTTTTTGAGACAGTCTCTGTCACCTAGGCTGGGGTACATGGCACAATCTCAGCTCACTGTAACTTCCGCCTCCCCGATTCAAGTGATTCTCCTGCCTCAGCCTCTCGAGTAGCTGGGACTACAGGCACACACCACCACTCCCGGCTAATATTTTTAGTAGAGACAGGGTTTCACCATGTTGGCCAGGCTGGTCTTGAACTCCTGACCCCAGGTGATCCACCCACCTTGGCCTCCCAAAGTGTTGGGATTATAGGTGTGAGCCACCACGCCGGGTCTATACTACTCATATTTTTAAGTAATTGCTACACACTTGTATACTCTCTACCCCCATTAACTTTTTTAATTTTTATTTATTTATTTTTGCCTCTGAGTCACACTCTGTCACCCAGGCTGGAGTGCAGTGGCACCATCTCAGCTCACTGCAACCTCCACCTCCTGGGTTCAAGCAATTCTCCTGCCTTCGCCTCCTGAGTAGCTAGGATTACAGGCATGTACCACCATACCCGGCTAACTTTTGTATTTTTAGTAGAGACGGGTTTTCACCATATTGGCCAGACTGGTCGTGAACTCCTGGACCTCAAGTGATCTACCCACCTTGCCTAAGCCTCCCAAAGTGCTAGGACTACAGGTGTGAGCCACTGCAACCAGCCTTCTCCCATTTACTTTAAAATCTCCCCCTCTTTCTATTTTTCTGTTATAATTGATAGTTTTTCACTGCTTTGCATTGGTAGTGCAGACATACTCAGCCTATGAGCAGGGCTTTTATGATGGGACTTTTTGTGCCCAGGTAGAGAATTAGGCTGGCAAACCATGAGGTGGAACAGTGCTTCTCTGAATGTAGGCAGTAGACCACCATCACCTGGAAACTTGGCCCAGACCTGAATCAGAATCTCTGGAGGCTGGGCCCAGGAAGTGATTTAACAAACTCTCCAAGGGATTCTTAGAACTTTCCACTTTTAAGAGGTGGGTCTTGCTATATTACCTAGGCAACACCCTTGAACTCCTGGCCTCAAGTGATCCTCCTACCTCAGCTCCCTAGCAGCTAGGATTACAGGCAAGCTGTTTCAATTTTTAGTCTGTTCATTCCAAACAGAATCAAGAAAGTCTCCAGAGACACAGGGTAGTTCTGAATAGCTGGTTTTTAAGGCAAAATTTACCTACTTCTCTCTTTGAAAAGTACATTAATTCAAAGAACTATGGTTTGCAGAATGTCCTATGGCTTGATGCAAAGGCAGAATGATTCCAGCCCATTTGTTACCTCTGGGAATGAGAATCCATGCTTTCCAAAGCATACTCATTCTTTAATAATTGAGATGTTATCACCGGCCATGTGCGGTGGCTTATGCCTATAATCCCAG